TACCAAATTAGACTCCTCATTATGTGGCTTAGCCGAACTCCTCATCCCCTTAGTGTAAAAATATCAATGTACTAAAAAAAAAAACTTGTATTTTAAAAACTTTCTTACTTACTCTTTTACCTTATATTTGGATTTTTGGAATTGTGCAACGTTTTTAGTTCTCTCTATTGAATTTATGTTGTTTCAATTTTTATGCAAATTACTTTAGTCTCTCATGTTCTAAGTTCAAACTATTTATGTATGTGAAAAACTCTCTCACACGTGGAATCTTGACTCCGCCACTATTTTGCATATAAGGATTTAATGAATGTTGCATTGGTTCCTGCATAAAACTCGTACACTGAGTGACTTAGCATTGTAACCCTATTTATTTATTGTTTATAAATTATAAGTGGTTGGTGGTGACAATCTGACTGTTCTATGAGTAAAGTCAACCTGAAAAACGAGTAGAACACGCAGGGCGGTACACATGCACCAAAGTTTGTTTGGCTGATGAAAAATACCAGTGGAGAAACATTAAACAATATAAATTTGCAATGATGTTGTACACGTAAACCATTCATGACATAATAAATGACATGGATCGCGACACAAATTATTTTGCTCATTAAGTTATTCTTGAAGTCAAACCTTAAAATTTTCAATTATTGGATTCAGATTTGTAGATATAAAATGAGGGTATTATGTGACTTCCCAATTATTGGATTCAGATTTGTAGATATAAAATGAGGGTATTATGTGACTTCCCTGACATATTGTTTGTTTGGAATTGCTTTAAAATGATTGAAGACGTTTTGAGAGAAAATGTTTTTGGATTCTAAAAACATTTAACGTGTTTCATGCAAGCAATGGTTTTTTTCACTTACATTTTTACTAAGAATTGTTTCGAAATGTGTTTTCACCAAAAACGTTTTCAGCTATTTGAAAAGTATTTCCAAACAAGCTCATAATAGAAATAATAGTTTGCAGATGTGAATGAGGTCAGTTGATTAGAACAGTGTATTTGTTTCCCTTGTACTTGATTTTGAATTCCATCCCGCAAATTAAAGTGTTTAGGAACATTGTGACAACTTTACTAAGCTTGGTGCTTTATGCTTTAAAGCAATGTCACAGTACCACAGATGCCATATATGCATCTCATTACCTTTCGTGCTCGTCTCATTTTTGGAGTGATGACAAGCAATCGTAGTGGTTTAGAGTTTAGAGGGGATACTATCTTTGCAACAATGTCCGCTAATTCTTACGTTGGTAGTTTATAAGGTACTTAATTAGGTGTGCTTAACCGTCAAGAAACTAGGGATGATAACGAGGTGGGACAGAGCCATATAACCCATCAACGTTTCTGTAATGCCATGTAAATAGGACCCTTGCTATACAGTTCGAGTCATAGAAACGACTTCTTTACAAAACAAGGGTAAGACTGCATATGATAGACATTTCCTCTCCTCTTCCCGCCGACCCTCACAACATAGGTAGCCTTCTTGGCTTGGGGTTGGTTTTTTTAGTAGTGCCTTGCTATATTGACATGCCATATATGCAACAGTTCTTTATTCAAATACATAAATTACGCTTCAGGAGCATGTACAAGGATCTTCCAAACCCTAATATTAATCCTATTAATCTTGCAGGAGGAAAACCCCAAAGACATCTACAAGGATTCCGAAGACCGGTTCAGGACATGGTACTTTCCTCGGTACAACTTCACCCTCATGAAATTATGGTCCAAATATCTCATAGCTGCAGAAGAGAAGATGGTTAATGGTTCAGGATCCGGCGTTTTTGATTTGCAACTAGACAAGGTCGACGACGTATGGGCAGACCACCTCCCGGATTTAGACTACGCTATAATCTCAGGCGGACATTGGTTTTTTCGTCTAATGTACCTACACGAAGGTGACAAACTCACCGGATGTGTCTATTGTAACAAACCTAATGTCACCGAATACAACAACAGCCACGCCCTGCGCATGGCATTTCGAGCTACATTCAAGTACATACAGGAATGCAAAAACTGCAAGGGAGGCCTCTTGACCTTGTTGAGGACATTTGCGCCGGCACATTTTGAGGGCGGGGCTTGGAACACCGGGGGATACTGCAACAGAACGAGTCCTTTGAGCGAGGGGGAAGTTGATTTAAAACGTTTCGATTGGGAGCTGAGGAGCATTCAGGTTGAGGAGTTTGAAAGAGCAAGAAAAGAAGGGGAGATGGAGGGGAGGAAGTTTAGGGTTTTGGATATAACCCGAGCCATGCTTATGCGACCGGACGGGCATCCCGGAGATCACTGGGGAAACAAGTGGATGAAGGGTTACAACGACTGTGTGCACTGGTGCATGCCAGGCCCTGTTGATTATTGGAACCATTTTTTGATGGAGATTATCCGAAACGAGAGAGGATAGTTTCTTAGTTGAGTGTTTAGGGTTTAGTTAGAACAAAATCCATACAAATTCGTATCTTAATAGTTAATAATGCCCTAAGTTTTCTACTTTGTTTTTATTACAAGGGCGTATATTAATTTTAGTTCAGAGATATAGCTTGGGCTCGGATTTATGGTTGTGGTGGGTCGGATCCATATCCCACCGCTCGTTTTCCACGGTAGTTGTGCGCTACTCCGCTGACTATGACTAAGCCGTCTTACTTGACTTGATCTATGGCCGTTCCTCCTCCCATGGCTGCTATAGATCCTTCTAAAAGTGGTTTTGTCCTCACCACGAAGACTTGCTGATTGATGGTTCCATTCTCAGATTAGGTAGTTTTTCATTTTAGCTTAGCAGGTTGTGTTGTATTGCTTCGACAAGTCGTTTGTGGCCTTGTTCTTGCGATGACTTTTGTAGCCTCGTTCTTGCCATAGCTTTTGTGGCCTCAGTGCAAGGTCTGTTACTTCTGCCATCATTGTGGCAGATCTTTACCAATGGCTTATGGTTCGTGTTGTTGTGATGTGGTTGCCTAGTAGGGGTTTTCCTTATTTGTCAATTTGGATGGATTTATCTCCATATCAAAATATTTGGTCACTAGAGAAATGTACCCATCTAGCACCTCTTAGTTGTATGTATTTGTTCTGATAAATGAAATTCTTTACGTTTTATGTATGTATGTATGTATGTATGTACATAGCAAGTCGAGTCAAGTAAGTTGCAAAGTATCCAGAATCTGAGGTTTTTCACTACCAATTTACCAATGTAGACCTTTTATTTTAGCAAAAGTGTTTTCCGTGCTGGTTGTCATACAAATGTTAATAGAACTATCAGACCTTAGTGAATCTCCCTCTCCGAAGTTTATATTCAAATATCGCCTGAATAAAAATAAAAATTCTAGATGTTCTTGTTCAAAGTAATTTAAGAGCATCTTTAACCGATATGTCAAATTAATTTTCGTATAAAGCATGTACATGTGCTCGGAGTTTGGAAACAATTCATACTCTGTTAAGATGTAAGTAGGTTGCTGGTTGGTTATGTCCGAAATTCGGGTCTTGTGCTAATCTCTGTGTGTAGATTGAGTGAGGTTTTAACTCTCTCTCTCTCTCTCTTTCTCTCTCTCTCAGAGTCATTAGCTGGTTGGCTCCTTTTCTCACCTGTCTAGCCATAGCCACCATTTTCATCTTCTTCTAACTCCATTCTCCAAACCCTTTTCTAATTCTTCCCAAACAAGGCCTTGATCATGTTATTAAGCTCTAACCACCAACAAGTAAACATACAAAAAGAAAATAAAACCCAATTGTTCTTTTTTATTTTCATATTTGAATTATTTTAGAGTCTGTTTGGTAACCATTTGATTTTCAGTTTTCGTTTGTTGTGCTAGAGATGAAGCGAAAATATATGAGAAGAGTGAAGGGAGAAGAATGAAGGGAGGTGGTGGGAGAAAGGGAGGAGGAGGAGAAATGCAGGAGTTTATATGAACACAAAAACTTGAAAGTAAAATTTTTTGGATTTTATTTTCGTAATGTGTTTTATTCCTTTTCCATTTCTTCCACCATCCTTTCTTCACCCTTCTCCGTTCCTCCTTTTATAATATACATTTTCTTTAGCTAAAGAATGAAAAATAAAAACTAAAAACAAATTCGTTATCAAACGACTTGTTAGTTTCTTTGGGTAAGAGATTGCAATTTTTGGTTTTTGTAGAAGAAGAGAAGTGTGACCTTTTAAAGGGCCTCTGGATTCCAGATCTGAGAGGGCCAATCTACACCAATACAAGCTGTGTCACTCACTGTTCCTGAATCAAGGAATTGCTTCAAATATGGTAGGATGGACAAGGGTTTTCTGAACTGGAAATGGAAGCCGGACAACTGCAAGCTTCCGTGGTTCGATCCAAATACATTTTGGGAAATCATTTGAGGTAAGAAAATGGCCGTTATCAGATGTAAGGAAACAGACATATTACTCTGACCAATTGACCTAATTAACCCAGTTATGTATACTTTTATGTGCGGGTTCTTCAATGAACTATGATATTAACACTAATAACTTGCAGGAGGAATTCCCTATACAAGGATTCCGAAGACCACTTCAGGACATGGTACTTTGCTGACTTCACCCTTATGAATTTATGGTCCAAATTTCTTATAGCTGCATAAGAGAAGGGGAGATGGAGAAAAGGAAGTTTAGGGTTTTAGATGTAACCATGCCATGCTTATGAGACCGGACGTGTACCCTGAAGTTCACTGGAACAAGTGGATGGACGGTTATAACGATTGTGTGCGTTGGCGTAGTTTCTTAGGGCCAATTTGATATGTGATACTGTTGTAGCTTTTTAAAGACATACTTATGATGTGCTGTGAAAATAATCAGTTCTACGAATATAATCTCTCCCCCAGTACTCTATCCTATATACCATACTTACGTTCTATAACAACCTAGAGCTATTCCTCATAGTACTGTCACTGTAACTTCCCAGGTCCAATCAACAAGTAAGCCGGAGTCTTAGTGTTTTCCGACAAGTAACAAGTGACATGGACACCAAACTCCGGGAAGGTCAATCCTTGATGGAAGCATACATAACCCAGGACATAAATTTCAAATCCTTACATTCTATCTTTCATAATTAACATATGTTAAATCGAGTACCTCCAACATGTTTATAAACTTTCCCAAATATTCAGCAGATTTTGGGAAGCCAGGGTATCCTTTCACATCAGACATAAAACATGCACCTGAAATTTGGTAAATATGCGAAAAGAGATCCTACATAACAACGGAGATTCAGAGATGCTTTACACACACAGTCATGCACACAAACGGAAGGCCAATTTCAGCCAACAGTACAGCAAAGCCATAGAAGAACTCTTGGCTCAATCACACAGAGGGAAGAGTCTGAGAAGTACGATTACCACAAACCATAGCTAGATTGTTGAAGCAGATAGGTTTCAGAATTATCTGAAACAAAAATTGCAAACCGATACCAAGGATCGACAGTTAATTGATACAGGACCAGCCTTGTTTCATAACAGAGTGCACAATCAGAAATCGGAATTTTAAAACTATGCAATGAGTTTCAAATTATAAGAGTAGAAGCATTACAAATATGAGAGTAGTCTAACAAATATCTGCAGTGCACACATAGCGCGCGCACGCCTTCAGCAGATGAAAGCGATATTTTAAAGAGCTCAAAAAACCAAGGCTCTAGATAACTAGTAAAGCAAGGTCGATAACTAACCGGCTTGGGGCATAGGGTCCAAGTTATTCAAATATACATGATCTAATCAGTCTATGGAAGATATCCTTCAAAAGGCTGCATCAGTGAAAAAAACTTTAACGGCTGACACGTACGCCAGTAGAAATTGATAACCTAAACCTCTGGGAACCGGCACACTATTGATCAAATTTAGCATCTTTGATATGGTCTAAAGATTAAAGCCAACATAATAAGATGTTCACTAGTCGAATCACTACTCAAATGCAACGCAAGCTCGGATAATTTTAGAACAGTTTTAAGTATGTCAATCAACATGAACAAAACAAAGCATCAATCTGAAGGGAAGATAAAATGAAACTATCCAATTCGAAAAACATCAAATTCAAAATCTGTAACTGTAACTACACTAAGTAGCACAATAGGCAGTAATCTACACTAACATCAATAAGGTAACACATAGTCATTAGACAACAACTAAAACTTTAGATTAACACATAAGCATTGCTCTGAAATCTCATGCTTCCACTGTGTTACCTAGCACAAACGAGAACAGCTCGCGAACCGGCGAAAACTCCACCAATCCAATATCCATGGCATACCCTGCAACCGGCAACTTCAAGTCCCGCAACACGCAGAATGCCTCCGCCATTCGAGTCTTCGGCGCTTCCTGAGCGACAGCACAGTAAGGAACCCAGCAGTCAGTGCGATACTCCTCCCCAATTTCCACACCTTCTTTCTTCATTGCCTCACACAATTGGGACTGAAACTGCAGCAACGAAACCGACGGAGTTGGCGACAGAAACAGGACGTTGTTGTCATTTGGGAGGCTCCCGATCGAAGAGAAAGACAAGGCCAGAGGCTCTTGCTTGGAAGCGAAGGTTCTGATCACGTTTTCGAGCTTGGCGGGTTCAATAAAGGGACTTGAGAAGAGGGTGATGTGAGGTCGTGATTCGATTTCGATAAGCTGGGTACTAATCTGACGGCGGGCGAGCACGTTCCAAGCCTTCAAGACCTGGTTTTCGAGGGCTGGATCGAAGTAAAGCTCGATTGCATAGCCCTCTGACATTGCCTTGGGATTGAAATTCGAAAGAAAACAATCAAATTGGATCGAAATCACCACAACCCAGTTTCAGAAATTGAGATCTCAGATTGCCCAGAAACGAAAAGTGAAAGATAAGCTGAAATCGAAGTGACCCAGAATTGCAATAACCAAAATTTCCAAGAAAAAATTACAGATTCAAGAAAATATCAGAAAACAAGAACTACCCAAGAGAGACTGGGATCGGAAAAAGCCTGAGAATTGAAATAAAAAATGGGGAACAAAAAGTGAAAGAGATGAGATTTTTAAAACATGTGAAATGGTGGATTAAAGTTTCAATCAGAGAGAGACAGAGGGAATAAAGGCGCAATAAAAATTCGGAGGGAAAGCTCGAAAGGGGTTTCCGAAGAGGCTCCGTAGCAGCGAAGATACGATTTTTCTTTGTTCGCAGATTACAGTGATGGATAAGATAAAGTGGGAGAGAGAAGGGAGGAGGAGCCTTGCACCATCTGTTGAAGGAGGAGGAGGGAGTGTGCAAGGTCACCTGTTTTTGGGTGGTCAGCTTCTTCAAGTTTTTCAACACTTACAATTCTTTCAAAATTGGAGTCCCAAGGTCTCAAAGTAGAGAGATACATTGGTAAAATTGCTTAATTAGTACAAAGAAAAAGATTGATTGATTGTACACAACGAAAAAGACTTAATAAAGAATAGATACATGCATGAGCAGTGATAAATGACGTTAAAGTGTTAAAAGTAATCTCACGTTTTTAAGTGAGAGATGATTAGAATTTACGACAAGAGAGCATATGATACGTAGAAAAAAAGGTAGATGTAATATTGGCTGAAAAGCCCTTGATACTTGAGTTAGCAAATTGTCATAAAACTTTGGCTAAGTATGTTGCGATCATGAGAATAATCCCCTTCTAGAAAGGTGAAAATAGTGGAGCTTCCCTCATTTTCAACGTGAAGTAATTTGATACTGAGTACAGTAATGACACGTGTTCGTGAGCGTATGAGGTCTAAGTGGAGACAATAAAAAATTTGTATTAACTAATCACTTGCTACCATGTGTAGAGGTTCCTCAAAGAAATTATCAAGTTGTTAATTAGTTAGTATTGGTAAGTTAGTTATCTAATGACCAATATTCAGCAAGTGATTTGTCACATGATATCGGTTTATTCAGCAGTTGACACTTGTCCTACCACATGGTGTGGTGAGGCAACCTTATTTTCCTGAAGTGTTCTTGTCGACCGACAGGTTGATGGGATTCTCTGTCGGTCATCTTCTGGTCTGTCTGTACCGCTCTAATGATATTTTTTTCTCAAGTTTTACATCAAGCCCAACTTAAGTTAACCCACATCCACCAAGCCCACTTGAGCCCTAATTTAAGTAGTGGGCTTCAAATAAGCCTGAGGCCCAACTCTCACTTCTCCTTCCTCCTCCGTCATCTGCTACAGTATCTGGTTCAAAAAAGGAAGTCGTTGGTTCTGGAACCTCCGCCTGTGTATAAAAAAACCCTAATCGCAAAAGCTTCACCGCCCTCAGACCGCCGATCCCAACAAAACCCATTTCTCAATTTTCTTCAAAAAATTAAAAAAATGGGCGAAAATAAAAAAGGAAAAAGAGGTCGAAAAGCCAAAACCCCAGAAGCCGATGACACCAACATCACCACCATGGACATCCAATACACCAACCCCACCGCCGCGGATGACGCCGTCTCAGTTCCGGCGAGCGAATCCACCTCGGACCCCGGCAGCTCCCAGCCCGCCCGCCGCGGTAGAGGGCGTCCCAGAAAGACCGAGAACGCCAACATGGCGGGTTCGCCGGAACGGCGGAGCTCGAGACACATGGATCAGAACGGCGATGGTGGGCACGCCTTGGCGGTCGTTTCGGAGCCGCCGATGATGGTGCCGAGCCGGGAGAGCGTGGAGAAGGTGGTCCCCGCCATGGACGCCGTCGTGAAGGTGTTCTGTGTCCACACGGAGCCGAATTTCTCGCTGCCGTGGCAGCGGAAGCGCCAGTACAGTTCGAGCAGTAGTGGGTTTGTGATTAGGGGAAGGAGGGTGCTGACCAATGCGCATTCTGTGGAGCACTATACGCAGGTGAAGCTCAAGAAACGCGGCTCTGAGACGAAGTACTTGGCCACTGTGTTAGCCATAGGCACCGAGTGTGATATCGGTATGCGAAAATTCGGATTCTTTTATTTGATTCTACACTAATTTGTTGTCGAAATAGGTATACATGTTTGCTTTTTTGAGAAATGTGATCGTATTAAGAGTTACTGGATTGATATGGCAGCAGAAAGCAGTTAGTTTGTCATGACTCTGTTTTGTTAAGATGTTTGTGTGATCAATTAGAATTTAGCTAAGAAGCAGCTTCAAATTGCACATTACTTATTTCGTTTGACATCGAATATGATTAGGATCCAACTTATCGATTTTACGTTAATTTCTATGGCCTTGCTGTATCTGTGTTCTAGTTTTTGGAAATTTGCCTTGTCTCTGTTTATCATGTGTCCCGTGTCCGTATCTGTGCAACATAGCAATTATGCATCGTGTTTTTCATTTTTGTTTTCCAATCATTTGATGAATGCAAGATCAATTTTTTTCTTTTGTAAAGTTCGGTTTGATTTGGCATGCTTTGGAAAAGTTGATGAGAAAGTGATATCAGTGCATTAAATTCATGGGTTATTCTATTGAATAGTTCTTTTTCCATGATGCCTTTAGCGATGCTTACTGTGAGCGATGATGAGTTCTGGAAAGGAGTTTCACCTCTGGAGTTTGGAGAGTTACCTGCACTCCAAGATGCCGTGACAGTTGTCGGCTACCCTATTGGGGGTGACACGATCTCTGTGACAAGTGGTGTTGTGTCACGTATGGAGATACTGTCTTATGTTCATGGATCGACTGAGCTTCTAGGACTGCAGGTTATGTCTTTTGAGATTTTTCTTGTAAGACTATTCCTATGTACCATAACTACCTGATTATTGACCTGCTGTGGCTTCCCGATTTCCTTTCTACTTGTGATCCTTTTGCAGATAGACGCTGCAATAAACTCTGGCAACTCTGGTGGGCCTGCCTTTAATGATAAGGGAGAATGCGTGGGTATCGCGTTTCAGTCTCTTAAACATGAAGATGCGGAAAATATAGGCTATGTCATACCGACACCAGTTATTAAGCACTTCATCCAAGATTATGAGAAGAATGGGGCATATACAGGTTTGTTATGATTTGTACTTCTGACACTACCTTCCGGCAAATATCCCTGGCAGTCCAATGGGGACACATGAGCATTGGGTTATTAATAATCGTTTGCGTGATTGAAATTCTTCTAACAGGGTTCCCAGTTCTTGGAATCGAATGGCAGAAGATGGAAAATCCTGATCTGCGGATCTCAATGGGGATGAGACCTGATCAAAAGGGTGTGCGTGTTAGAAGAGTTGAACCTACAGCTCCACATTCTCATGTTCTGCAGCCATCTGATGTTATTCTTAGCTTCGATGGGGTTAATATTGCAAATGACGGCACAGGTATCTGTTATCTTGATAAAAGAAGTTGAACTTTAATGTGCATGAGCTTCTGAATACACGAGATTAAGTTATTAACATTCCTTTTGGTGTCATTTCTCTAGTTCCATTCAGGCATGGAGAGCGCATAGGTTTCAATTACCTTGTCTCTCAAAAATATACTGGCGATAGTGCTCTAGTAAAAGTTCTTCGTAACTCAGAGATACTTGAGTACAACATAAAACTTGGAACTCACAAGCGACTCATCCCAGCACACATTAAGGGTAAACCTCCTTCATATTACATCGTTGGTGGTTTTGTTTTTGCAGCTGTATCTGTTCCATATCTGCGTTCTGAGGTGCGACCTTCATTTCATACTCCCAATGCTCTCTCTCTCTCTCTCTCTCTCTCTCTCTCTCTCTCTCTCTCTCTCTCTCTCTCTCTCTCTCTCTTCTCTCTCTCCTCTCTCTCTCTCTCTCTCTCTCTCTCACTCTCATTAGTATGTTACCAACTCCTTAACCTCTGGGTTTTCATTTATTTCTAGTATGGAAAGGATTACGAATTTGATGCTCCAGTCAAGCTGCTGGACAAACATTTACATGCAATGGCGGAGTCTATCGATGAACAGCTAGTTGTTGTTTCTCAGGTTCCCCTCTCTCATCTATTTCTCATGCTTTTCAGTTTTAGACGAAGTATTTTTTGCTCTGCTTTCATGGCTATGATGCCTTGCATCTTTTTCAAAATTGTGGTAGGTGCTTGTTGCTGACATTAACATTGGATACGAGGACATTGTGAACACTCAGGTTAGAGATATGTTACACTACAATGATGTGATAAAATTTTTTAACTTCCACTTTAACATACTCATTCAAAGCATTTGGTTTCCGTGTAGGTTCTTGCTTTCAATGGTAGGCCTGTGAAAAATCTGAAGAGTCTGGTTAGCATGGTGGAGAATTGTGACGACAAGTACCTAAAGTTTGACCTAGAATACAATCAGGTTCGCTCTCTCTCTCTCTCTATCTCTCTCTCTCTCTCTCTGCGCACAGGCTTTGTACTTTTCGTTTGGTGGCTGAATTGCGTAGTTCTCTGTGCAGATGGTTGTACTAGAGACAAAAACCGCCATGGCGTCAACTCTAGATATCCTCCTTACACATTGCATACCTTCAGCTATGTCTGATGACCTTAAGTCTTAAGCCCTGAAAGGAGACCTATTCCCATAGATGAAGTTTAGAATGCTTGTAGAAGGAAGGGAAATATTTCATTCTCCTACGGAGAACAGAAGCCGGGAATTAATCCGCCATTTCTGTCATAACCAGCTTCTTGAAGTATCTGCAGACGTTCGACCGCGTTATAACGATGTCTTCCCTATGTTATTGTATTTATATTAGCCAGTTCTTGTTACAGAGCAGAAGAAAGCAGCGAGGAATTGAAGTTCGGTTTTTCCTAGGATTAGTTAGCATCATACGTTCTGAGTTTTGTCAATTTCAGTACCAGCTAAAAACATGTGAGATGTTCATCATGTAACATTTTAACCGGCTGATTTATTTGAGAATAATACAAGTTGGATGGATTGTACTATAAAATTCAGGGTTGTGTTGACGGAAAATTCTACCATACAACAATGTACGTTATATACGACTTCTTATTGTTTACTTAGGAAATGATTCCGATTTCCGACTTATCGGCTAGGGAGGTGCCAATCCCTATTAAAATTCGTCAAATTCTTGACTTCTCATGTGTTTACTCGGAAATTGATTCTGATTTCCGACCTGTTATGCTTTTACTAATACATTTGTGAGTTTTATGTACCAATTCGTATGGAATGCAAATGTTCCAATTCACAGCTTCTTGCGTCCCAAGTAAACATACTTCGAATGCGTTTTTCATTTCAACTAATCCACCCAAACTCAAAATCAACCCATTTTTCTTTAAGACATTATTTTACATTAATCTTGACATAAGTGAATTTTAACTCAAATGCATAGGAAGCACGTCCGCTCTGGGCAATGCGAAATCAACCCATCTTGGCTAGACTAATAATCAAGAAATGTTAATGGGACTTTATCAAAAATGGGCTCTTTATAAACTCTTTGTTACCTCATGTTTTAACGCCAATTCGCATGCCAACATGTAAAACATTATGCTAAAGGAGGCGGCAGATAGTCTATGAAGAGTCCCTTTAGCATTCCTCCTAATAATATTAGGAAAGTGCTATTCACACTCATTTTACCTCCAACACACTCTTGTTTATATTGAATTAATCATTCAATTTTCTTGATCCGACGATCAAAATTTAACATAAGTGTGAGAAAAGTAAAATGGGTGTGTGGATACAACTACTTAATATTTGGTTCGTTTGAAAGTACTTTTAAAATGACTAAAAATACTTTTAGTGAAATTGATTTTAAAAGAAACACCAGACATACGATTATTTCAACAAGCAGTTAAATACTTTTCAAGAATCCACTTGAATTTTATTGAGCATTGATTTCAAAAAATAAAATTTCAGTAAAAACGCTTTGATTGACTTTTAAAAGTAGTTTCAAACAAGTGCGGGTTGGAAGGTTTAGACCCAACTCACAACACGTCATAAGAATGCTTTCCACCATGTGAACGCGGGACACGTAAGTTAAATATCCCTCATCCTTCGTATTCATGTCTCCGCTACTGAATGTCGTCTACTCTGTTTACTTACCGCGAAGCTTCAACGAAGGCCGCCAATCCATTGACTCCCACCGGTGTCTCCTGTCGGCCCGAAGAAAACCCATTTTTTATGACGACCCACCGGCCCTTAACCACCCCCTTTCCACGCCTTATCCATTATATATTCAAAACTAAAAATCCCAAAACACAAAACCCACCATTTCTGCCACCACTATGTATATCCAACACATCAGTCCCACCAGTGCCACCACCGTCAACGACGCCCTTTCCCTCCCTCCCGTAACCCATCCCCTCAGCCCCGAGCTCATCAATATATCGGCTTCCGGATTGGCCGACCAAAACGGCGGTTGTGGGAACGATTCGTCGGTCGTTTCGGAGCCGCCGATGACAGTGCCGAGGCGGGGGAGGGTGGGGAGAGTTGTCCCGTCCATGGACGCGGTGGTGAAGGTGTTCTGCGTCCACACTGCGCCGAACTTCTCGCTGCCGTGGCAGAGGAAGAAGCAGCACAGCTCCAGCAGTAGCGGGTTTGTGATTGGGGGCAGGAGGATTTTGACCAATGCGCATTCGGTGGATCATCATACCCAGGTCAAGCTCAAGAAACGGGGCTCCGATACCAAGTACTTGGCCACTGTGTTGGCCATTGGAGCCGAATGCGATATCGGTATGCTACAATTTTACATTTGCCTTTTGCAATTGCATAGTAATTCTTGAGGTGAATGCAGTTTAAAGTTTGCGTCTTTTTGTCGATTTTAATTTCGGGTTTGATTTACTTGGCGATGATGTTTTGTGTGCAACAATTTTACATTTGCATGGTAATTCTTTGAGTTTGGTGCAATTTAAAGTTTGTTAGTTTTTATACTTTTGTGTTGCGATTTAAAGTTTGATGCTAAACTTTCAGCGATGCTTACGGTGAGTGATGATGAGTTCTGGGAAGGGATTTCACCTGTGGAGTTTGGAGATTTGCCTGCACTGCAAGATGCCGTGACAGTGGTTGGGTACCCGATTGGGGGTGACACAATCTCCGTGACGAGCGGAGTTGTGTCAAGGATGGAGATCCTGCCTTATGTTCATGGCTCCACCGAGCTTCTGGGAATGCAGGTGGGTACATTATATATAGTTTCTTAACATGAAAATGAAATTATGTACACCTAATTTCAGAGACTTGACGCGTGTTTTCGGGGTACTTCGGGTGCCTTTTTGCAGATAGATGCTGCAATCAACTCTGGAAACTCTGGTGGCCCTGCCTTTAATGATAAGGGAGAATGCGTGGGAATTGCATTTCAGTCCCTCAAACATGAAGCTGCGGAAAATATAGGCTATGTTATACCAGTACCAGTTATTATGCATTTCATTCGAGATTATGAGAAGAATGGCGCATATACAGGGTTCCCAATTCTCGGAATTGAGTGGCAAAAGATGGAGAATCCTGATCTTCGCATGTCAATGGGGATGAGACCTGATCAAAAGGGTATCCGTATTAGAAGGCTGGAACCTACAGCTCCAGAATCTCAACTGCTAAAGCCATCTGATGTTATTCTTAGTTTTGATGGGGTTAACATTGCTAATGATGGCACAGGTAAACTCTCTCTCTCTGTGAATTTCAAAGACTGCTGTTCTCTTTTCAAGTCGCTTTTGTGTTCCTGCGTGTGTTGGTAATTATTTTTTAGAAGAGTGGTATTTGAACATTCCCAGATGAAGTGTTCCATAAGCTTCTTGATATTCAGCAGTAACACTAATTTTTGTAATTTTTTTTAGTTCCATTCAAGCATGGAGAGCGCATAGGTTTCAGTTACCTTGTCTCTCAAAAATACTTAGGTGACAATGCTCTAATAAAAGTTCTTCGGAACTTTGAGACACTTGAGTTCAACATTAAACTTGCAAAACACAAGGAACTCATCCCATCACACATCGAGGGAAAACCTCCTTCCTTTTATATCATTGCTGGATTCATTTTCACAGCTGTATCCGTTCCATATCTGCGTTCTGAGGTGTGCCCTTGCTTTCAACATTAAACTATGCCTTTATTAATTTCTACAAAATGCATCCAGGTTTAATTGTTAAATGAACATTACAATGTTGCTAAATCTTGACCATGGTTTTTTTCTTATATCTAGTTTGGAAACATATTTGACGTTCCAATCAAACTGTTGGACAAGCATTTACATGCAATGGCACGTTCTATTGACGAACAGCTCATTGTTGTTTCTCAGGTTTATATCTCGCATTCTATCTTTCTCATGCTTTTGGATATTAGTATAGTTTCTTGTTACCCCTGGTTTTGTGGTTGACATTGTTCAAAATTGTTCTAGGTACTTGTTGCTGACATTAATATTGGATATGAGGACATCGTTAACAATCAGGTCAGTGACTAGGCTTTTCCATTTTTCCTTTCTTTATCTGATGCCCCAAATGATGGTCTAAGGAATCGGCGAAATAACATCTGATAGACTTGTGTAAATTATTCTGCTTTATGTGCAGGTTCTTACTTTCAATGGTACGCCTGTGAAGAATCTGAAGAACTTGGTCAGCATGGTCGAGAATTGTGATGACGAGTACCTTAAGTTCGGCCTCGAATGCAATCAGGTTCTTTTTATGTTTCTTAGTCTCAGGCACACACAAATACATGGATATATGCATGCATGCTATGCATTTTTCTTTGGTTGGCTGAATTGTGAATTGCATACTTCACGCGCAGATGGTTGTTCTGCAAACAAAAACTGCCAAGGCAGCGACGCTGGATATCCTCACGACACATTGCATATCATCGTCCATGTCTGATGATCTTAAGACTAAAGAGAATACTTTAGAGGAAGTACATTCTATGGCCGATGACCTTGATACGACCCTAGAGAAGGTAGAGGCTGTCTACTTGCCTTAAGACTCGATTCAAAAGTCAGGAGCAAACACAGAAGATCACTTCGCCTCTAGCTTTTAACACAGATGATTTTTAGGATCTTCTTATAGGAACCATGTATAAAACTTATCCCGAACAAATTTCCAAGAAGTGAGATTATGGGATGAGTTCTTTACTTTTAAGTCGGAAAATATGCGATACTAAGGGTAAAAGGAAACAATGTCACTTTTACAATAGCATATTTTGGATTGTAAAAAAAATCTTGTTCTTATGGAATAAAGATTACATTAGAAAGCTTTATACAACTTAAAGTATCCTCCCTCAAAGCATGTTATCCTTCCCAAGCTCTTCCTCAAGTCTCAAGTCTAGGATGACCTTGTAGAGTTTGACTTGGAGCTAGTTGTTACGTCCAATCCATCGAGATGAGGCGACTTCCAAGAATGAAAATCGCCGTTGAGTTCCATCCATAAACACATGTCGATTATTTAACTTAAGGGTCTCATTCCCCATCACTAATGTTGCATCATGCTTCTTACTTATAAGGAGCCAAGCAGTGTTCGATAAGGTGGGCTTTCCCTCATTGCATCTGTAACGTATGCTAATTCTCCAGCCACAAACAGTCATATGGAAGATTTCTAGTAGGCAAATAGACGTTCGATGATCGACTGGACGTCTTGTTTTTGACTTTCATACATATATACATCTGCAAATCTTTGATTTACTTTTCGTTTTTATAGTTTTGCAATAAAGGGGCCTTGTGGGTGGTAGATGGGGATTCCAGGCTAGTAGCTACAGGTTCTTCACCGACCTCTTCCTTTGTTTTCCCCCACAGTACAGCATAAAACCCAAAAGATATAATTGTTGCTCCAACTAGGCTGAAAAGAGGAAAAAATGGAGACATTTTACGCTGCACTCTCGCTAGCGGAAAAAGATAAAGGAGAGAGGAGTGCAAGATGACTATTTTAGAGTGTTAGTAACAACTCGTTGAAAGAAAAAAAAAAAGAAAAAAAAAAGAGGGATTAGTTATGCTAAACAAACCTTCCGAGATGAAGAGTGTCATGAAGGAACACAACGCCCAAGACCACAGCAATGGCCATGGACAAAGGCTTGAACATTGTCACATAGACAGGTCCCTTCAAGCGCAGCACCCATGTGTGAACAGCATTGTTCAAAAACGACCCAAATAGCCCCTAGATATACAGAAAAATTGATACGATTAAGATGTAAGTCACACTATATAGGCAATGTTTTTTTTGACCATACAATTAGTTACTTACTGAGCAGAGAATGGAAAGCAATGCAATATCAGGTCTCAACTTCCAAGCGCTTGAATTTGGTTCTGTAATCAAAGCAACAGCCGCAGAAACGGCGACCACGCAGACATTGTAGAAGAAGATGACGGTTAACTCATTCGGGTAATCTTTCATGATTTGTGCCTGCAAAAGTATTACTACTTTAGAATTAAGGCGGAACATGAAGGATTCATGGTTTAGGGTTTAGGGTTTAGGGTCGGAAACAGAAGAATTCCAAACTTTTAGTTTTGGTTTAACTTAATTACCTGAACAATGTACCAAAGTGGTACCAATATGTACTCAGCTGTTAGCAGAAGGCCACCAATTATCCAATTTGAGTTTGTTGGTGGTGGGGAGTTTAGGAGAGGTTGGTGAAGTGAAATAGATTGTGATTGATTAGCAAACACAATAGGAGGGCCCTTGTAGAGAGTCACCACAAATGCACCTGCAAGTGAAACTATTGTACCCAAGATTTTTGCTTGACTGCTTCTGCTTCTCAAAGCTGTACTTTCCAGCCTTTTGGTGGGTATAAAGGGGAGAGAGAGAGAGAGAGGGAAAGAGGTAGAAGTTAGTTGTTAATCATGCTCATGGTAAAAATTACAAGAATTCTTTAGTAGATCAATGTATTGCATACGTTGTTGAATTTATGGTTGTATGCGTGATAAATATTCTTAGGGATTTTAACGAGCGCAACTGAGCTACTTAAAATGCAATGTATATGTTGATATATACACAAATAGAACTCTAGCATCGTGGTGCCTTTTGTTAATATAACAATTTTAAGCATCGACTTACGCATGATGTTATATTATTTGTCTAGTTTCGAGCAGTACATGTAAGTTTTTCTCTAATAATAAATGACAAGTGACCGTCATATGTGTCCAAAGGAGAAATTTTTCAGCATGCGAGGAAACATAGTCTGGTACACCAAGTGTCATAATACAAGTGGTTGAAAAAGAAATTTCAAATATCCAACCCTTAATATTATAATATTTAGTATATTCTATACCAATGTTCTAAAAAAGGGCCTAGGCGCAGGGCAGTGGTGACCTGAGGCGTTTTCTTGCAAATCGGTTGGGCTCTAGGCGGCGCCTAGGCGGGCTAGGTGCTAGGCGGCCAAGAGATTTTTTTTTTTTTTTGAAATTAAAAAAAAAAAAAAAATCTTATCTACATTACCATATTTCCTTATTTTCCTCCTATTCTGCATTTTATGTGGTTTTAAATTGTGAACTTATTGTACATGTGTCATCCTAAAATACTCCTCACTATGGTTCTATGACATATATGCTTAATGTGTCCTTAAATTTTGGACTTATTAGATACTCTTTTTGCATTTTATTATTCTTTTATTTCCTTATCCATAGATTTCATACAAGTTTAATTTTTTGTAAGTATCAATGTGCATTTATTTACAAGATATACAAGAAATTTACCTAAATCCGCCTAGGCAGCCTAAACCCCGCCTAGCCATCTAGGCCCTTAGGCACCAACCCGCCACCTGACTAGCGTCTATTCTGTTTTTAGAACCTCGTTTTATACCGAATTGTGTTTATAGCACACTAAAAAAATCTCTCGTACCCATAGTTTTCCTATTTTACCCGAACAAGCTAGAAGTTCAAGTTCCAATTAACAATTATTTCTCTATGTTGGGTCTGCCCGCTTGGAGCAAGAAAACAAAGTGGGGAAAGAGGGATTTGGATCTCATTTAGATTCAAATTGCGAGAATCCTAGTGATTTTTATATTTTAATCATTTATCGTCCATCATGCGATCATAAATTATCTAATATTTTTTATTTAAAATTAAATATAAATAATACTGATGAAAATTGATCGTACAATATATGACGAACGATTAAGATAATCTTTGCAAAGTGTGCTGGACCCACGTTCCTCTGTTATCGTAATTTGAAAAAGCACCTTTTTCTGGTCTCTTCAACTATTTATAGAAAGCAACGGGACAAACTAAGGCCATTGGATTTTGGCTTTTTTGTTTATATACCCGTGCTTTAAAGAGTATTTCATTCCCCCCACCCATCAAAAATCTTGTGATCGTGTGACTTTGTCTCCTCTACCTTCATTCCCTGTCCCGTTCCGTCAAGTTAGTCAGGAAACGTGTTATCTTGTTTATTGCGGAACTGAAGCCTAAACGAAGAAAATACCGAGTTCCAAGCAAAACTTCAATTCCACATCAACCAAGTTAACGATTTTCTTAACCATTACGGAACACGAAACTAAAGCACATAAAGCAAAGCCACACAATCGACAGTCCGGGAAACAAGTGGAAATTTCGATATATTCGAAGGGCACACAAATAAATAAGCCTAGATATTTGTCAACGGAGGGTGTTGTGGTAACTGTGTGTGGGGAGAAAGAGGAGGTACCTGACAATGATGGCAAGGATAAAAGTGAAAGCTGGCACAAGGTTGCTGATGGCTGAAGCAAGTGTTGGAGAGCTGTAGTTGATTCCTGTGTACCCCATGATCTGTGATGAACTCCTGCTCATCCCAATAACACTAATTAGCATTAAATAGTTAAATACTTGGTCCTCAAAATTTTAGCGAGGCGATCATTTTTCTCTTTCTGCATGTCCTTATATATATATTTATTCGTTTGATTTATTCAATCCGAACTTCGGTGGCAGTAATAAACAAGGTGTGCATGTGAGAAAAAAAAGTGCGCTGAAATTGCTTCGCAAAATTTATGCGTTGATAGGATTGTACCCTATGAGTCCAAGAAGAAGAATTTTGGACATGATGGAGAAGTTGAGAGGAGGAAGCACCCTTGATCTGCAATTTAAGAAATTATAGATGCATGTTAGATAAAATGATGAAGAGTTTGTTAATTTTGATCAATTAAATTGTTTATAATAAGACGGTATTCTAAACTGTTCTAATTTATAGGACGAGAAAGAAGATTCGAACCTGCGGGAGACGAAAGGAGCTGGGATGAGAACAAAGGCAGCAACTGAGTAAGAGTAGACAACAAAGACATGGTAGCTCATTCCATTTAGAGTGGCAGCTTTGAAGAGAGTGTTTAGGCCGACGTTCATGCACTCCATCGTCACCATCGCCGTGAACGGCAGCACATCTCTGTAACAAGACCTCCCTGCTGCTGCCATGGATGCTCCTCTCTCTCTCTCTCTCTCTCTCTCTCTAAAACTCAGAAGGAAACAGAGGGGATGAGATGGTAAAGTCAAATGAGTAATGGGTGTGGTCTGAGATCACAAAGATCCTCCTCCTCCTTATGGGTGAAATATGGAAGATGATTGGCACATTAAGGTTCTTTCTTTGGTCACATGATGTGTGCAAATAATGGATATATAAAAATATGGAAAAGTTAGGTTCTAATTTCTGATGATGACATTTTCTTTGACATTTCCTTGACGAAATCTTGTGTATTTTAAACTTTTGATAAGTCTTTTGATTTATTTTCACATAAGCATTTTGTATTATTTTACCATGAATAAGAATTTAATTTAGAGTTTAACCTCTCTATTTCTGGCAATTAATTATCATCCTAAACTAAATCTTTTTTTACATAACTAATTTTTTTTAATTTTTTTAATCTACCCATACATAAGTGGGCACAATATTCTTTTGTGATGATGCTAGTCACAAATTCATTTTTATCTCTCATAAGCTCATTTTAATTTTCGGTCGTCAAATTAGATGAATTAAAAAAAAAATTAACAAAGGTGTGTAAGTGGTTAAAAAGAGTGTATAAATAACACCACCAATTTTCTATTCATATTCCGTACCGATGTTAATAAGTGGGTATAATATTCTATATTTGTATTATGTATCCATATTAGTTACACACACACACACAAACACACACATATATATATTAGTAATAGAATGTACTCATGTTTATAATATATAAGATTCAGATTGTTAAAATATATTACAGAATAAGTTCTAGAATAACGTGATCAAAAGTATGTAAAAAAGGTGATGACACAAATCTGCCCCTTATTTTGACATTTTATCAATATGCATGCTGAGTATTATTTTAAAACTATATTGTTGCATTGCTTTTTTGTTCATTTAATCAATCAAAAGTTTGGAAAAAAAATGATTCGTTTATTATAGCTCATTACATGAGGAATATAAATACCTCAAGCTTAATTGTTGACATAGAAATACATTAATTACCAAATATAGAGGTGTACAAAGTTAAAGCATCTTGATGAAAAATAAAAAAACTAAAAAGCTTTCAGTTAAAGAATACTAGTAGTTAAGGATCATATTTAAAGTCTCCCTAAATATTATTGAATGCCACATGGATTGACATTCTCCACTTTGTTGCCAAATTTAAAGTGAATGTCAAATTTTCTTGGTTTTATTTTAAAGAAAACTAATGAAAATGACTTGAAAACTTTGAGTTTTAACGATAAAGATAAAATAAAGGGTAAAGTGAATAGTATTAAGATTGATTTTTTAGTATAAAAATGTGATTTTTCGTTAAAATGAACAGTACCAGAAACTTTTCGTTAAAGTTTCATTTATTTTGATGTTGGGCCAACATATTTCTTTACTTTTATTCACTTATTGATTATTTTATTAATTATTAATTCTGGACCAACTTGATTTTATATATTAATAAAATGCATTTTAATTAGATATCTCCAATAGGAGACCCTATTGTAGGTTCTCCGCCTCCACCACCACCACTCTTTAGGAAATATTGGGGATCAATTATAGAATATTGTCTCTAATGAAGATAAGATACCGCCGGTTACCCAATCCCAATGATTAAAAAAATGTCAAAGTGCTGTGTGGGCCCGCTACTCAGCAAATGCTAGCAAGTAACGAAAGGCAATTCCATTCCTAAAAAATCCTGGGCAATAGGCAATTTAATCCTCTAAAGTGAATAGTAATTGTCTTAAGTGAACATTAACTGTCCAAGTAGATCTCCATTTTTAAACTGTTAAGATATTTCGTATTAAAATATTATTATTATTTTTTTTATAAAATAATAAAAGATAATTTTATTTTTAATTTCGGATGATAATAAAAGATTGGTTGAAAGTATTTGAAAATATTGAAATGTGATGTAAGGTGGAAGAACATGGTTAGGTATTTATAGAACTTTTTTTTTTTGTATTTTTAATTAATTTTTATGATTTTTTTAATAATTTTTAATTGTAGCTGACGTCAGCCTTCCATCACATGCCCTAAGGCTAGGCTAGTCAATTTTAGCCTGGGTCAGCAACTAAGCTCCCCTATAATAGAAACTAGAGCTGCGCTCCATTAGAAGCCACCAAGTCCTTAAACTTAACATATGGTGGGAGGAACAATTTTCAGAGCACCACTGAAGATGCTATATGTTGTTAAGTTTTAGAGAAGCAGGCAATTGCTCCATCACTAATTAATATCAATATTTTTCACAACTTAACTACACGGCATGTCGTTATATGTGAGATTTTATCAAAAGGATCTTGATGCCATTAATAATATAATCATTTACAATAACTTAGTGGCCGTTTATAATTATTTTGTTTTTAGTTTCATCTTTATGAAATCTTGTTTGGTAACTACTTTCATGAAAACTAAAATTTTTTTTTTGAGCAAAATTCAGCCTTGAGTTTTCACTTTCAGGTTTTCAGTTTTTATATTTTTGGAATCCAAAAATTGAAAACCAAATATTTATCAAACGACTCCTTAGTTAAATAAGACCTACACCTAACGTAAGAAGGGTTTTGATGACTAGTGTGGAAGGCATCTATTGTATGATTATTGTAGGATCTCAATTTTAAAACTAAACTATATAATATGGTAATGGTCCAATAATGTACGTTGTAAGATGCACTATTTTTCAATTGCATGCGATAATCGAAGTGGGACAATTGGCTTAGTTTTGTGCTGTTTTGAACTTTTAAGATACTTTAATTTTTTGGCTTGATAAAGTGAAGCTTACCAAGGCTTATGAGTCAACATCTTTGGCGTGCAACTGCCTAACTGGGGTCAATCTTAATATCTAGGCTGGTTGAATTGAAGTTCGGTTGTACTATTCACACACTTATTTATACTTCTTACACATTTTTAGTTTTCAACCATGAACGAGTAGAAGATTAATGACAAAAAATTAACAAAGGTGTGTGGGGATAAAAAAAAAGTGTGACAACACATTTTCTTATGTTTAGACCTAATTGACAAGTAAGTTTATCTTTTGTTAAGTCTTAAAAGTATTTAAGCTCGAAATGAATTTTATGATTGTATTTGGAAGATATTCGCAAAATTGATTAGGAACTGTGAATAATAATTCAGAGTTTTTATGAAAAATGTAATTGTTAACTTTTGAATAAGTCTGTTGGAAGTTGTTTTATCATTTATTGAGTTTCATACTTAAGGAACATATCGAAAATATAAGGAACAAATAGTGTTCGTCCAAGTATCAACAAGTCTCTTATAATATATTAAAAAAATTAATAAAATGAAAAATAAAAGTTGTGTATTTTTTTTTATCTAAGTGAGAGTTGCTACCTAGACGGATGCTTAAGCGGACGTTTAAGCAAGTCTATGCCCCCTTTCTTATTTTTAAATGCCTAATATTCAATCATGGTGGTGGTCAACCACCTAACGTTTAGGCTCGGCCTAAATAACCTTGGACAAGAACTTTCAGAACACTGGTTTTGTTTTGTTTTTGTTTTATGAAACAATAGTTGTGTGAAGGCAATTTGGAAATAAAAGTTCCATTGGTTTTGGATGTTGAGAGACAAATTTTGAGTACGACTAAAAACTCACTAAATTTGAGTGTGAAAGTCACTACCCTAATTATTATGTACATAAAATGTAAATTAATTTTGTTTTTTTAGAACAAACGATATTATTTACACTACGAGAAAGAGGTGGACTTAGCCTCATTATGAGCTAACAATAATGTGATTCAGATTTGCTTTGGGCAAGAATCGAACCTAAGATCTCTCACTTACAAGTGAAGAGGGAATACAACTAAACCATAGTATTAAGTGACAACATGTAAATTAATTTTGATAAATGTTAGAATACAAGTCCGAACTTGACATGCCTCACATTCATGCCAACACAATCTTGGCATTACCTATTACACATTCTTGTAACTTTCACTTTGGCCACTCCAATTTCCGGCCATTAGCCTCTTCATACTTCATTGCTGATACTGCTTGGCAACTGAGGAGTCATTTGGATTTGGGAAGACGGTTTTGATAGTTGGACACCCACATCATCCGCCGGTTTTGAAAGTTGAACTCCCTCATCATCCGCCGGTTTTGATAGTTGAACTCCCTCATCATCCGCCATCGCTTTCTCCTTCATTTTTGCGTATATCACGGTATAAAATCCCACCGAGATCACAATGCATCCAATCAAGCTGCACAAGAAATAAATCCATTGACAAACATGATAAAGAGCATGTGAATGCAAAAATTTGTTTGTGTGCCTGAGCATACCTGCCGAGATAAAAGGTGTCGCCAAGGAAAACAACCACCAGGACTGCCGCAATGGCGATTCCTAAGGGTGAAAACATGGCTACATAAACAGGCCCCTTCTTGTGCAAGCACCAGACATGAACACTGATGCGAAACACACTCACACAGATTGCCTATAAACGTAACGACATCATATTAGTTCCTTATTAAGCACTATGTTTAACAAATAGAAAGGTTTTCGTTCTTCTCACCGCGTACACAATGGCGATTATCTCAATGGGTAGCTCCAGTTTCCATGAATTCAGATTATTCCTTTCCACAATTAGAGAGATAACTGTGCATTGAATTGTAAGAAACATGGTGTAGAAGAAGACTATGGTCATTTCTTCCGGGTAATCCTTCACAGTGGCTGCCTGAAAGTGTAATTTCACGCCATTTTCGATACCATTAATCAGCACACACCTTAAATTTTCAAAGGGTCTTTTAACTTTAATCATTTAATAAGAAGATTAAAATTTAAAATAAACCTGGTATTAGATTACATATTGATTATAATTCCTTGATGTGTTCTTAATTCGAAATAACTAATGTGCATTTTATTTAATGTCTCCCATTAAATATTTAAATGTATTAATATACAAATTTTAATTTATTTTTTGACCAAAAAAGAGTTTTTTTTAACTTATTAATTTTATTTAACATTATTCAAACATGAAATACTCAATTAATGTACCTAAATGTATGTACCGAAATGTATTATATTGAACTAATGTATTTAAATGTTAGTACCGAAATATATGCACCGAAATGTATTATATTAAATTTATGTACCTAAATGTGTGCACCAAAATATATGTAACAAAAAGTATTATATTGAATTATTGTACCTAAATGTTTGTACCATTATTGTATATTAATGAATTTAATGTACTAAATGAAAAAAACAAAGTACATCGAAATATATTGTATAAAAAAAATTAACTTATCTAAATGTTTACAAAAATATATATTACGATAAATGAAATGAAAATGAAAATGAAAATTATAATGAAATAAAATTAATACATTAAAATTTAGGAAGAAAAAGAGAAATAATTAAAAAATCAAAATATAATGAATAAATAAGGTTATTAATGTATCAAGGGACTAAAATTATATTTTGATCTTACTCATGGTTTTAATCTAAAAGTCATCTTTATCAAGGATTAAAATGAAATTTTCTAATTTTCAAATTACATGGATTTAGAGCTATTTTAGCATCAATGCTTTTTCAGCACAAAATTATTAGAGATAAGTGCTAGGGAAAGCCTCCAAATTACATTACAAAAACCATGCCATTTCATTCCCATTTTCCAAGCCACCAAAGTATGAGGTGAGTTGTGGGAAGATATATTACCTGAGCGATGTTCCATCCCGAAGCTACGAGGCATTGGATTGCGAGTAGCAGACCTCCAAACATCCAGGTTGATGACTGTGAGACGGAAGATCTATGAGTCGAGTGACTCGAGCCGGAAGACGAGGAAGAGTTCAATAGGGCAGGGCCGTTGTAAAGGGTCACTACCAATGCCCCTCCCACTGATATAATGGCGCCCAAGGATTTGGCATAACTCGTTGCTTTTCTCAAGTCTAGCTTTTCCATCCTAAAGTTAAAGTCCTTATTAGCCAAATACATATAAACCGTCACAGAAATACACAATTTATGCAAAGTTATTCGTACCTGAAAATTAAGGCTAGCAAGAAAGTGAAAATTGGGGTGAGATTTCCCATTGCTGACGCAAGGAGAGCCGAACTGTTTTTGACACCGGCGAAAAACAGTATTTTCCCTGCGCTCCTGCAATTACAGTTTTCTTCATCATTTCTATGTCTATATCAATTATTTCAACAAGTATTTGATCAAGTGAAAGCAACTAGAATTACCCAATTAGGCCGAGGAGAAAGAATTGGCAGATGAGCCTGAAAGTCAAAGGAGCTCGCCTGTTTCTGCATGAAATATGACATTAATTATTGACCTAAACCAATCTCGATACCTTCGAAAGAAGCGGTCACGGTCACATCGGAGGATAATCACACCTTTGGAAGATGAAGATGGGGAGGAGCAAGAGGGTACCAATAGCATTGTAGTAGACAATGAAGACAAATTTGCTCATCCCCTTTGACATGGCTACTTTGCTCAACGTCGACACGCCAACTTCTGCACACTCAACGATTACCATGGCAGTGAAGGGCACGGCGCCCCATATGCGACTTTGCCAAACCATCTCTTACTCTCTTTCCGCTGTTACAGAGATCGAATGCTCCTTGTTCTTCTTGTTGTGAAGAAAAAGTTGCAGGGACAACAGCATGTGTTTAGATTGATCGTATAACGCCGCCACCACTCTCGGACAAATTAAGCTAATTTTGTAGTAGTTACATCTGTATACTGAAGATAATAAACACACTACAATCCAATGCAAGGAATCCGGATATTTGCCGGATCCTCTTTGTGAGGATCTCAGAAATCCGTGAATTATATCCAATTGTATATCGTACAGTCTGAAATTATTTTAAATATTTTTATTTAAAATTAAACACAAACAGTACTTGATAAAAACTGATCGCATAATGTACAATAAACAGACACAATTCACGGTTACTCACCAAAAGGATCCGAAGAGGATCCTGCTGGCAATGCAAGTTCATTATTTCACATGCCCACAATAGTCATCACCTGAGAATTTTTTTGAAATGTCTTATGAAATTATATCTTTTTCAATTAGCCATTTGGACTAAAATTTTAAACGATTTGACATACTAATTTTCTAAAATAATTATTTTATCATCTCATTCTAACTTCGTTAAGTTTTTTATTCAAAATAAATCATGTGCTTTGCACATGACTTGTGTTCAAAGTTATATCAGGCATTTTTAGATACAAATGATGGTTAGTCTATACTAAATCAATCTTATTCATGAGAAATAGACTTAACTATGAGTATTAAGAGATGCACATTACTCTAGTCAACTTGAAATCTGACCAAATAAGTGAATATTAACATGGACATTTCATACCCCAACTTGCCCTCATTTACCTTGAAGTTGCCTCTACTCAAAAAGATGCTTCAGGCCTTTTATATTTTAAATTTCTCAACTGGGGAAATGTCAGAGTGGCATGTTGAAACTGGCAGAAGAGCATTCGGTCAGGATTTCTTTCTTAGATTCTGGATTGAGTGATCTGAACTGTTAAAATTTGATCTAACAATTATAAATAGGAAGTCTCTTTAAAAGTTATAATAATTGTAAATGTTAAATCAAATTTCAACAATTCAAATCACTTAATTCTAAACCTTTGATGGAGAGATCCAAACCGAATCCTCTTCCGAAGTTGCAAGCCTACAGTATTTTCTACTGTGGCAACGCAACCAATTAACAAGAAGCCAAATTATTATTGTTGAGTCGGTGATGCAGCTTTTCCATTATCTATGAATGGTTTGCATCACCTAAGGACCTTAGCCAAATATATATCCTATCCTCCCCATTAATTACATTTCAAAAGAATTTTCCGAAACTCCTTTGACAGAATCTATGCAGACAATATTACATATCTCTTGGGGACTTTTTGAGGGGCTTCGATGGAATATTCAGGCAAATAATCGAATATTGTCTTCAATAAGAGGTTTTTATAGTATAATCATTAAATCTAGGACTAAAATATTAAAACATGATTGTTAATTTCATTATAGTACTGTGGCCGTTGATAGAAACAAGAGAAAAACCAAGAAGCTGTCCCTACCGTTGGTTTCCGAACGATTAAAAAAAAGGAAAACAAAAGAACCCAAATGCTAGATTGGGTAATGAGGAGGCAAAGGCGCTGAAGAGGGGAAAAGGGCACGGGCATAAATCTTAGATAGAGTTGAAGATAAACAGAGCATTTGTTATTAATTGAAACCTTGAAGTCTGTTGCAATAGAGGGAGAGAGAGAAAGATGTAGATTGCTAAGCAAAGACAAAGAGAGATTGACTGCAAGCCTCACATGTAGCTCAACGGCATAACTGCCACCGAGGTGTGGCTGGACTTGGGATGGCGGGTGAGTGGCAGATGGTGCATTGGGCTGGGGCAATATGGCTGGTATCATTTTTGCTTTTTTAAACTTTTAAAAAAAAATTTTTTGCCACGTTAGCGAATTTTGCCACATTAGCGAATTAACAGAAAATTTGACGGATTTAGACGGCAGGGATTACATTGATGTGTGATGGTCAAATTCAGGGACGAAATTGATTGATTTTGAAATTGAGGGACTACAGTGATAAGTTAAATCAATTTCAAGGACTATTTGCGATAAAAAAAACCCAACTGAAAATTATTTTTTTGTGTTTTCAAAATTTTAGCGGTTAGTTTTCAATTTTTATTTTTTATAGAATATGAAAATTGAAGACAAAATGATTATCAAACGACTTCTTAATTAGATAAAGCCTACCCCAAATGTAAGAAAGGTTTGATGACTAGTGTGAAAGGCATTTATTGTATGATTATTGTAGGATCTCAATTTTAAAACTAAGCTATATAATATGGTAATGGTCCAATAACGTATGTTGTAAGATGCACCATTTTTCAATTGCATGCGACAATCGGAGTCGGACAAGAGGCCTAGTTTCGTGCTGTTTTGAACTTTTAAAGGTACTTTATTTTGGCTTCTTGTTAAAGGAAGAGGATCCTGTCTGAATTTTACTTTATGAGGATTTTAGGAAACTTGACATCTCAGTCGTTCATCGTACATCATACTGTAAGTTTTTATTAAATACTATTTATGTTTAATTTTAAATAAAAAAATCAAATCATTTTTGACCGTACGATAATGGCTAAAATGTGGAGATCTCTAAGATCCCCACAAAGTGGATACGGATGAGATCCAATTCCCTTGTTAAAACCTAGTAAGGCCTCCGAGTCAACATCTTTGGCAACTTGTAACTGCCTAACTGGGTCTATCTTAATATCCAGGCTGGTTGAATTGATGTTCGGTAGTGCTATCCACACACTTATTTTTACTTCTCACATACTCTCTCAATTTTTTGCTGTCAGATTGAACGAACAGAAGAAGATCAATAACAAAAAATAAATAAGGGTGTGTAGGAGATAAAAATAAGAAAAAAGTGTATGAATAGCACTTTCCTTGATGTGTAAACCTAATTGACAAAGTAAGTTTATCTTTTGTTGAGTCTTAAAGGTATTGAAGCTCGAAATAGATTTTATGATTGTATTCTGCAGATATTTGCAAAATTGGTTAGGAACTGTGGTGGCCACCAGCCTAACATTTTGGGTCGGCCTTAACACCCCCAGGCGGGGACTTTAGAACACCGGTTTTGTTTTTGTTTTATGGATCGATTGTTGTTCTTTATTATATTTCATATGAAAGTAATTTGGAAATAAAAGTTCCATTGGCTTTGGACGTCGAGAGACAAAATTTGAGTATGACTAGAAACTCTCATTAAATTTGAGTGCGAAAATTACTACCCTAAATGTATACCTAACATGTAAATCAATTTTGAATAAATGTTACAATACAAGTCCGAGCTTGACATGCCTCACATTCATGCCAAAAAAATATTGGTATTACCTATTACACATTCTTGTTACTTTCACTATGGCCCCTCCAATTTCCGGGCATTAGCCTCTTCACAATTCGTTACTGATACTGCTTGGCAAGAGAGGAGCCATTTGGATTTGATCAGACGGTTTTAATGGTTGAACTGCCTCATTATCCGCCATCGCTTTCTCCTTCATTTTTGCGTATATCACGGTATAAAATCCCACCGAGATCACAATAGAACCAATCAAACTGCGCAAGAAAATGAATCCATCGATGAACACGATAAATAGCATTTGAATGCAAAAATTGGTTTGCGTGCCTGAGCATACCTGCCGAGATAAAAGGTTTCGCCAAGGAAAACAACCACCAGGACTGCCGCAATGGCGATTCCTAAGGGCTTAAACATGGCTACGTAAACAGGGCCCTTCTTGTGCAAGCACCAGACATGAACACTGATGCGAAACACACTCACACAGATTGCCTATAAACGTAACGACATCATATTAGTTCCTTGTTAAACACTATGTTTAACAAATAAAAAGTTTTTCATTCTTCTCACCGCGTACACAATGGCGATTATCTCAATGGGAAGCTCCAGTTTCCATGCACTCATACTATTCCTCTCCGCAATTAGAGAGATAACTGTGCATTGAATTGTCAGAAACATGGTGTAGAAGAAGACTATGGTCATTTCTTCAGGGTAATCCTTCACAGTGGCTGCCTGAAAGTGTAGTTTCACGCCATTTTCGATACCATTAATCAGCACACACCTTAAATTTTCAAATTACATGGATTTAGAGCTATTTTACCAATTTGAAGTTTTGCTATCAATGCTTTTTCAGCACAAGATAATTAGAGATAAGTGCCAAGGAAAACCTCCAAATTACATTACAAAAACCATCACATTTCATGAAAACTTTGCTCGAGTAACAAGGAAGACGGTAAACGAAAACATTCCCATTTTCTAAGCCACCAAAGTATGAGGTGAGTTGTGGGAAGATATATTACCTGAGCGATGTTCCATCCCGAAGCTACGAGGCATTGGATTGCGAGTAGCAGACCTCCAAAGATCCAGGTCGATGACCGTGAGACGAACGATCCATGAGTCGAGTGACTCGAGCCGGAAGACGAGGAAGAGTTCAATAGCGCAGGGCCGTCGTAGAGGGTCACTATCAATGCCCCTCCCACTGATATAATGGCGCCCAAGGATTTGGCATAACTCGTTGCTTTTCTCAAGTCTAGCTTTTCCATCCTAAAGTTGAAGTCCTTATTAGCCAAATACATATAAACCGTCACAGAAATACACGATCTATGAAAAGATACTCTTACCTGAAAATTAGGGCAAGCAAGAAAGTGAAGATTGGGGTGAGGTTCGCCATTGCTGACGCAAGAAGAGCCGAACTGTTTTTGACACCGGCGAAGAACAGTATTTTCCCTGAGCTCCTGCAGTCACAGTTTTCTTCATCATTTCTATGTCTATGTCAATTATTTCGGTAAGAATTTGATTAAGTGAAAGCAACTAGAATTACCCTATTAGGCCGAGGAGAAAGAATTGGCAGATGAGCCTGAAAGTCAAAGGAGCTCGCTTCTTTCTGCACGAATTATGAAATTATTTATTGACCTAAACCAATCTCGATACTGGTAAACAGAAGCAATCACAGTCGCATCGGAAGATAATCACACCTTCGGAAGATGAAGAAGGGGAGGAGCAAGAGGGTACCAAGAGCATTGTAGTAGACAATGAAGACAAAGTGGCTCATCCCTTTCGACATGGCTACTTTGCTTAACGCCGACACGCCAACTTCTGCACACTCAACGATTACCATGGCAGTGAAGGGCACGGCGCCCCATACGCGGCGTTGCCACACCATCTCTTACTCTCTCTTCGCTGTTACAGAAATCGAATGCTCCTGGTTCTTCTTCTTGTGAAGAAAAGTCGCAGGGACAACATCATTTGTCTAAATTGATGGATATATTACACCAACCAATTACCAGTCAACATCTGTATGCTGAAGATATATTTTTTTTTTCAGAAAGTACACTAAAGATATTAATACAATATAATACAATACAAGTTCATTATTTTATGTGCGACTAAAGTCGTTGCTTGGGAAATTTTTTAAAAAGTCATATGAAATTGTGTATATTTTTTAATTTATCATATGAATTAAAATTTTAAACGATTTGTCGTACTAATTTTTAGAAATCATTAATTTATTATCTTATTTTAACTCTGTTAAGTTTTTTATCTATAATAAATTGAATGAGAAGAATGTTCTTTTGAAACCTTTGGGTCCTCTAGTGAATGAAATGTTCTCTCTCTCAATGTATTCAACACTCCTACCTACCCACAAAGTAAAACAAGCATAGGAAGCAGGTATGTTTTGAGAAATGTTAAGGAAACTTTTAAAGTGAAACTTTCTACCTTCTTATGTTTCTACCTTCTTATGTTTTTGACATAAGAATTGTGCTAGAAACATGAAGTGGCGGAGAGTCCATAAAGAATCTCACTGTTGAGAAAGTGTCTATAACTTTTCTTACTTTCCAATGTCACCTTAATATATAATTAATTTGCCAATCATTCGTTAAATTGTCAATAATTATGATCAGAAAATTCTGAGTTCGTTGACATATTTTTCTTCCACTAGATTAAGCCCTCCCCAGGTCACACCACTTCAATATTAAATGTTTATTTGACACTTCATCACATGATGTGTGATCCATATTGCTTCTTTTCTCCAATCCGCACTTCTCATGTTCGTTTATTGTACGAAGATGTTACCTGCCTTCTATTTTACACTTCTCCACTTGCCTTTTCCATTCATTCGTTCCCACATGGCCTCTACCATTGTGTTTTTTTTTTTTAAACCATATTTTAAACTATTTTTATTTGCATAGAGCGAGTTCGAACTCAGATACGCTGACTAACTGGCCTAGTTCACGTTACCTCTCACGCGTAACTTACTAGTAAAGAAAGAGAAAACAAAAAGAGAAAGTTTGTGATGTATTACACATCCGATTTAAAACATAGACCGGAGTATCAGAAGCTAACAAGACCCAAAGAGAGGCCACAAAGGAGAAGGAGATTATGCATATAGATTTATGCAAGCCTCAGGTCTTCCTCCTTTTTTTCCTCAGGAAAGGCATTGCACATAGAGCTCCCCCGGATGGCTGCCGAGAATTATCCACGCTATTTTCTGGCAATGTCGTATTGACCTTCGTTTGATCATCGTTACTTGTAGCAGTCTCATGATTTATTTTCTGTTCCGTATCATAGGCTTCCGTCCTCTCACTACTTTGAAATCCGACTAATGGTCTTTTGTTGCCGATGCTGGATTGAGCTGAAATATGACCAATGTCAACCACGTTGACAATGCCAGAGAAATTGGGAAGATCAGAATTCTCTGAAGCTGTTGCTTTCGTTTGAACACGAATTCCATCTTGGTCATTACCAGTCTCACTTTCATCTCCGCAAAACCCCCCTCCTGTCTTAAGGTAGTCTTCAGAAACCTCAGCCTCGAAAGAAGGATCACCATGTTGGCTCAAACCTGGTTCACCAGTTTCATCTTCAATGGGGCAGAACCCACCTCCTGTTTCAAGATAATCTTCATGCAGACCCACATTGGGAGACAAATTCCCTTCATTCTGCTGTTTCTTTTCGCTGAGAGAAGAAGCACTTGCTTCGCATTTTCCTTCATCCCGAGATATAACTTGTTCCCCTGTCTCTGCATTGGAGCATTTTGCATTACCGTGATCTAGTGGCTCATCAAGATCATCAACGTCTAAGTCATCGACTGTGTAATTTACAGGCTTCCGCAGACGCCCAGACTGAAAACATGAACGCCAAAAGAACAAAGCTAGTTAAACTTACAGAAAGAAGAAATAGACATACATTAGATTCTTTAAAATGATACGGATTCTCAAACTTAAAAAATGTGAAGCTTACCCTGCGCATTTCTCCCAACCCTTCTATTGTATCGGTATGAAGGTCCATCCCATCATTATCGTCATCACCATTGCCAGAGCTGGTTTCAGATACTTCAAAATTGGGATTTACCTTTTCCTTTCCACTTCCTAATACCCTCCTGCCTCTTCCTATGTCGTTTCCATTTGCATGCAATTTTCTATTGGTTGATCGTCCAGCTTCAGCAGGCTTTGGTCGCTTAGATGGAGCAGGCTCTTCAGTGGTCCTCCTTTTCCTTGACTGCTTAGCTGTTGATTTTCCCTTAGAATCGCTCTGCTTCTTAAGAACACTTTTATCTGTTCCCTCTGACAGTTTCTCTGATTTGTTATTCCCAGCTTCATCAGTACTCGTGGTTCTCTTCTTTCTGCTTCTTGAACCTTTTTGTGTAGCATCATCCACCAACTCTGAAGATTGATTTCCTGCGATACCTTTTACAGCTTTCTTGATTCTCTTACTACGAATTTTTGCAAATCTTTCATTAAAAGTGTAAAAAGCTTCCAGCCGCAGTTGAGTCTTCACCACACAAATACAAAAAATGATATCACCATCTTCTTTCGTAAGAAAAAAGAAAAAAGTAAAAAAAAGTCTATGATAAAGGAGTAAAAAGTGAGAGGCCATAAATCAGATCTTGCTAAAATGTAATGGACATGCATGCATCCCTATTTGTGCTTGTGTCTGCACAGGTGTATTCCACACACCAGTGAGAGATTTAAGTAACCAACCTCACGTTTGTTGTACTCGTTCAGAACGGGTATTAGCAATTCATCTGCCTTCTGGCTAGCCCAGCCAAACTTTTCTGAACATAATCTACGTGCAAATAGAGCTGATCAGAAAGATAGACATTCTATGTATCTGTCGGTAGAAAGAAACTCTATGAAAGGTTCCAAGCTTAGATGCAGCCGAAAATCCCCAATTCGAGAGACCAACACATACATTAACTACATAAAATTGCAGTCTACATTCTGAACATAATCTAATACGCATCCTTGCACACACCGTGAAGAAAATAAGCAAAAGGGAACTATAACATTTTACAAGGAACATATTCATCTGTCTACAATTTTTCGATACCTACATATCTCCTGTTGACCTTCAATAGTATAGCTTATAGAGTTACTGTTTTTCCAACAAAACGTTTAACAGAACAATAGAATCATATCCTGTCAATAAACAAGCCCCTAGAACACACTATAGTCCTCCCGATCCTTTGCATTGAAAGTAAAGAATATGCCGTACAAACTATCATATTAAAAAACCAACCTCATGAAGATTGAATTTAAGTATTAGGTGAGAACTCACTTGCGAAGAAAAAAATGATCTGGCTTTCCCCATGTGAAGGGCTCAGTTGATTTGTCCACCTGTGGACAAATATAAGCAGAAGTCACTGCTTCACTTGGGAAAGTGGGGGGAATATGCCAATTTTTGCTCACCTTTCTCTGCACAAGACAAAATAAGAGCATCCAAAGATGAGGATGTTATTCTTTTACAAATTAAACATAAGAAAAAAAAGCCTAAAGCAGAAAATATGGCAATCTAATTACATGCTTATCCATGAAAGTTTGCTTTGTTTCTTCAATAAGATCAGCTGACTGCTGGTGCTCTTGTTTTTGCTCAGACACTTCTTCCATACTGCTCTTCATATTGATATCCTTATCCCCAAATTTAGAGCCCCTTTTCTTTGCACTAGATCCTATTTCTCCATCAAACGTCCCTAGAATGGTAGGATCTGGTGATTCAATCCAATCCCGGAATTTATGGAGGCCATCCTCCTCGGGAAATGCATTTACAACTTCCATAGCATTGACAATGCCGATCCCACTACAAAAGACAAACCAATAGATTCTAATTCACTACTAACAGATTGTATGAATTGTAAATAAGTAGGTTCACTTAACAACACAAATCTGTATTGACTAACTAAAAATATTGAAAGTTAAATTCACGAGGATGCGGCACCACTACCAACATATTTCATAAGGACTAAAAACTTAAAAATGAAATGGTTTACCTAACTCCTTCAGTATAATCACTTCCAAGAAGAAGTGCCATACGAATTAATTTCTCTCTGCTTAGGCCAAGCTCATTCTCAACATCCTACAGAAGAAAATTGTATGAACATACATACATAAGCAATGAGCATTGCATCTTTAAGTCAAAACTTAAAGAAGAAAAACAAATGAAAGAGGAAAAATTGGGAAATATATGAAGGGCCCCAAGTAACAGAAATCAGATTTCTGACTAACTGAGTTTATAAATTGGGAAAACAAAAGAAGTTGTGTGTCTCACTAGACCCTGACCTTCATGAAATATGTCTCAACATATTTCCGATCATCGAATATATTTTTGTAAACACTTCGTGCCCCAAACAAGAACACATCAGAGTCATCAGTTACCACACCATCAACAAGGTTGGCAAGTTCCATATACGCACACTGGGCTTCTGCTTCCATTGGTGCAATAATGTATGGTATACCAAAAATTTGCAGTAGCTCCTAAAACCCGAGATATATTAAAATTCTAAGCAATTCATTGTTTCCAAGAAAAGATGTAATTTGCCAATGGAAAAGCCAAACAGGTAATGACAAAAATGAAGACGCACCTGACATTCGGTGAACATTTCACTGCTGACAGATTCTACATTACGTTCAAGCCTTCTTCGCTCATCTCCCAGATCCATACATTCTTGGTCTAGAATTAGCAGTTCCTCCTCCAAATCAGCCTCTGTGGCTTCCATACGTGCATTCTCATCACCCTTGAGAGAAGATATGTCCCAACTGTGCTCACTTTCCTGAAAACAAATGTCATGACTCTTTTCCTTGCCCCATTTTTTGTCAGCATCACTGTCATTTGTTATCTTTTTTGTCAATGACTCAGAGTTAGCCATCTCAACTAAATGACAAGATGACTCAGCTTCAACTTCAGTCTTCTGATCATCAGCCCAACCAGTAGCATCACCTGACAAGGCATCAGAAGAATGAGCATTATTTTTTTCAATGTTCTCGGGAAAGGTGGATAAATCACCATCACCATGGAAAGTACCCAATACTTGTTCAGTAATCACATGGACCTCCTTTGTCGCTGACGGAGTAATAGATGTTGTGCATTGCACTCCTCCACAGAAATTTTCCTTTTCACTTACATTCTGCATTGCTTGTGCTGGAGGAGAACCCAAGTTCGTCTTTTTAACTCCATCACCAATGTCAAAGGATGATTCATTTTGTTGAGTACCAATGTTCCCCAACAAAAATGGCTCAACTATCTTAATTTCTCTATCAATACATTCAGCACCTTTATGAGACTCTCGTCCAAAACATTGCAACTTTTCATCAGCAGGTGATCCATAATTACACTTGTCACTCCCCATATCCTCAAGACTTCTCCGTATTGCCTCCTGCAAACTAGCCTCTTCTTCGAAATAACCTTTAGAATTTGCTTTTCCATGCTCACCAGGAACAGATGAGGTATTTTCAGCACTACCACAAACTCCTTCCTCCCATTCCACTTCACTGTCATCATTAATATCGCCGGGCACCTTACTTTTAACTTCAGAATCATTAGGAAAACTGCTACCTTTTGCTTCAACAATCCCTTCCTCCCAGTCGCAGTCTGAGTCAGACCCAGAAGAATGCTTTTTTAATATATCATTAGCATCAATAGTTACAGGATTTCCTGCTACTAATGAAGCAAAAAAATCATGATCACCATCAAAAGACTTGCTCTCGCCATTGTCTTCAATGGATATTTCTATAGGAGTTTCAAGTTTTAACATAGAGTGATTATTTCTGTCATTTGAGTTATTATCACCAAGTGAGGAGTCAACCTTGTTTTGACCAGGATGCCTTCTCACCCCTCCAGTATCAACAGAATCACCATTATCACCTTTTGGTATTTCTGTGACTGTTCTATATCTACGTGAACTTTTCAAAATGTCAATGTTATTTTCGTTGAGCATATCCCTAGTGTCAGTCGTCTTGTTTGCAATTGTTTTCTCCCGTTCAATCTCCTTCATCAAATCCAAGTTCCTCTGTAAATCACGGGTCATACGCATCCCCATAGCTCTCACTCTACTGACTCGAAGATGGCCCCTCTCATCCAAATATGTCTCAATGTTGTCATCAAAAACACTTGTGGATTCATCTGGAGCTGATCCAATCACATTACTGGTAGACGAAGCACTGTTCCTGAAATTTGAAGGACACTCTTTGGGTGCTTGTTGCTTTTCTCCATTTCTATCAGCTCTTGCAGATGCAATTACTCTGGCACATTTAAGCATCAAACCTCACTAAGTGATTCCCCAGAATAATAAAACTGTCAAATGATAACACACGCAACAAAATTTGCAACTGTACTATATAATATATTTTTGTCATAAGAGCGCAAAATTGTGACTACTCACTGTTTATCACCAGTAAATGATGAAGAAAAGATAAATTCTCTGTGGGCTTCGGATGCTATTCGTGAACTCTGCACACCACTAACCCCTCTCCCAGAGGCAGCTTTCTGTACTTGATCTATCTCGCGACGAAAAGCTACAGTTTTAAGATAGGATTGTATTTGCAGCTCAGAGAACTTTTCAGGGTCCTAAATGTGCACGAGAAGAACCAATTAAAAGACATCCATGAATTCAAAAAGTAGAACATTATTTAAGTAAAGCAACTTATCCTCAATAGGAGCTCTCTAATTAAATGTATATATTATAAGACCCTATTAATATAAATAGATGCCAAAGTCATATACAGAAATGCTTGATGCAAAACTTCTTAAATTCACAAGACATGTCTTTGCAACTTACAAATTTGCTTTATTCTTTTTAAATCAGTCTTGCTTCTCAGCAAATGAATCCTATAAACTTAGTTATGACAAACAAGAAAATTCTTACAAGAGCATTTTAGCTGATGTTTATCCTTCTTTACATCTTAAATCCTAAAAGCATGAGCAACTATAGAAGTTCTCCTTTATATACGCTGTTATTAAAGTCATTTCAAATTGACTGTAAAGGTCACACATGTGTCAATTTTCTTTCAGTACATTCTAGGAAGCATGATAGATCACTGTCCCACTATACCAGTAGAGCACTGTCCCACTTTACCATCAGAGCACTCTATTCTCAATATTTCCAAGAAGTCATGCTACCAAATTCCAGTACCGATAAGGCAGGATTCATCACCCATCAAAACACTTCAGATATTATTGCTAATAGAAGACACTGAGTAGTGCATCTAATAAGTCACACCATGTTTGCAATCCAGGACTCACAATAACATGGGGTCATAATCAGATATGAAGGCTTTCACAGGAACCAACCTTTTTGACTTTCTGATACTTCTGTCTGTTTTCTGCCATCAACCTCTCTCTTATCTATTTTTGGGGGGGAGGAATCAATGACTGACATCAGAATTTGTGAAGATTGAAAGCTAATACCCATGACCTAACAAGGGGGCGAAACCCGCATAAATGAAATCTTACTTGAACAAGAAGATTGAGTTGCATTGATGGGGGCAATGCAGCTAATACAGCTGGATCAACTTCACCATGCAGTGGAGGCTGCAAGATAGTATTTAAAATTATCTCGACCGAACCTTAATTAGACAGAGTAAGAAATCCCATGATTAATGAATACAACTTAATTAAACAGTAAGGGTATACGCACACAAGTGTTACTGGCAAGGGATACTAACTCTGATATCTATCTATTAACTTACCAATATCATCTCTTCATCGGCATCGCCATCTTCATATATATCGTCCCCCACAAGAATAGAAGCAGTTGATGTTGACGCATTATTAGTTACACCAGCATCCTTCTCTGCCGCAATAGATGCAGCAATCCTAAATTAACATCAAAGAATCAATAAACTCATGTAATTGCATGATTAAGTACTCCTGAATGTTATATACAATTACATTTCATCTATCATTTCTTGATTGCAACTCCTTGAGACTGCGTCGAAGTTTTCTGAATTGATACCCACCATCTCAGTTTCATCTGACAAAATCTTCTTACCCTTAGCATCATTTTCCTCCTTATTTTTCTGGTCACAAAGCCGTTCATCAGCTCTCAACTACATTTTCTGAAACCACAAACAACATATATGTATACTTACCTGCAAAAGAAGTCTGTGTTGCATTGATGGAGGCAAACTAGCTAATACAGCTGGATCAACTTCCCCATCCATCTCTGGCTGCAATACAAATTACAAGCAGCAACCACATTACATTTCCAAATGCCCAAAAATGTTGTAGACCTAAAAACAAATAAAAAAAGACAACCAGAACATCCAAACTCTGTAATTTTCATTACACTGGTGGCTGCTCTAGGTTGCTCTCAAATGATATACAATAATTTTCATCAAGTCTGGAAGAACTTACTAGTATCATCTCTTCATCATCTTCTTCACCACCCTCAGCAGCGGTAGATTGTGATGCATTCTTTATAAAACCCCCTTCTTCCTCGGCCTGGATGGATGCTGCCAACCTAATTTAACGAACAAAAGAATCAAAATCACTAATCAAACCAGATTTATACACTACTCCCGCAACTGTGTTCTCAGCTTACATTTCATCCAGCTTTTCCTGGTTGCTACTCAGCAAGCCCAAGTTGTCTTCTTCTAAACTATTATCTGCCATCCTACCAGTCTGATCTGTTAGACCTTCTTTACTCTCGGCATCATTCTTCTGCCTCTGGTTCTTGATATCCGCAGTCAAGTCTTTCAGCCTCATCGCCTTAAGCTATTAACAAGAACAAAACATAGATAAATCAACTGGAAGCAAAACATACCGTTGATTTCACGCATCACATAACAAGAATATATGGTATTTATTCGAAAAAGCACAATAATTTTTGTAAAGAAATTCAAATTCACATGATTCAAATCCTAAGTCACACAAAAAGGCTGGAAATTTCACTCCACAACTCCGATCGCCAATGTTGCACGCAACCCTAATTCCAACCCAAATTTTCAACACCACATTCTACATTCCTACAAAGAAATTAAAAAAAATGAAAAGCAATTGCATATACTACATACATGATTAAGAAGCAATTTCTCGGCGGTCTTGCGAAGCTTGGACTGGGCGTTCTCCCGCTGTCTTCTCCGAGCGATCACAGTCCGGCGCTTGAGGGCCGGGGTTCCGCCGTCAAACACAAACACCGGCTTGGTCCGCAGGTACAACAGCTTGCAAATTCGGCGGAAGAAGCCGAGCAAATGCGCGTTGCGGACCATCTCTCCCTTCTCGTCTCGCATTGCCTTCATGAACTGTATCATCCATATGCTAGCATCTGTCCAGTCAAACAAATTAGTAACTTGATTTTATCAAATCGAATTAGTAATTCGATTTTCTGAAAATAAATTAGGGCTTAGAGGACGCGTGGGTGTACCGATTGCTAGTCTTCTTCCGGCTAGAGTCTCGACAGAGACGCGGCGGCCGACGGGGGCCAGTAGTTCCCAGAGACCGTGGACTCCCATTGTCTGGATTGCTTGCTGAGAACGCTTCTGCAATCAGGTTTCAGTTTTGTCATGGCCGCCAGTCGGCGGGAGGAAAACGAAGGAAACGACGTCGTAAGCAAGCAGTACACTGTGCACATGTATGTTTTTTTGTTTTTTTTTTTTTTTACTTTAAAAAAAAAAAAAACATTTATCTACGTCAAGAATACTCACACAGCCATTTCAGCTTTATTCTTACCACAGTCAAGCAGACTTATTAGCTTGGAGTTTCGAACTCAAAACCCCTTTGTTTTTTTATACTTGGAGCATGACTTTTTTTTTTTTTTTTTTTATTAAATTTTAAAATCCAGAATCTACACCCTTACTATTAGGCGACTTGACATGGTTGTACACATGTTGAAATAAAACAAATTTCGTGCTGAATTGTAAATATAGTTGGGGGGAATGTGAGAATACAAAGAATATGTAAAGCCAGTCTTATAACCAAGGGTGTTTTGGACTTTCCAGCTTTTTAGCGTCAATGGCTGCGTTTTTTTTTCAGTTCCAAACCTCTCAGGCTATCACAAGTCACAACCTCATTCAGTCCCAAGTCACAGAGAACTCGAGACCACCATGGCCGGTGGCCACTTCCGCCGCCACCGCCACCACAACCACCATCTTCCTTCTCGTGATCCTAAACCACCAGCACAACAGCCCCAATATTTGGCCTTGACACATTCCCGCCTCGACCTTCAAGCCAGCAGGGCATGTTTGGTGCGTGCTCCATCTAATTCCTTCAAGTTGGACAAAGTTATAAAGTCTCATTTACATCAACTTACGTTGAATATAGTGAGTTATCTAATTCAGTTTAATCGATAGACCCAATTATTCTTTTAAGGAAATTGTTTAGAGTGCTTAATCATCATGTACTCCTCTTTCCTTTATTTTTCATTTTAAATGAGCAGCTTCCCCTTTTGTCATGAAATATGAATTTGATACTGAATTCTGCATGCTATTTAGGGCCTGTTTGGTTGGGATGCACCCTTATTGTTAGCCCTAAGAGCTTTGCCAAAAATACTTTTTAAGTTTCTTTTACTAAAAGCTGTCAAAAACGCGTGTCGTTGTTAGAAAACGCTTTAAATTCCTTCAGAAGCAATTACAAACAGGCTCGATTTGGTTTAATTTTTTGTTAGTGTTTATTTTGGATCGGCATAGGCATTTTATGAAGGAATTGTATGGAATATACCTATATGGAGCTGCGCCAGAGGCTGATGAGAGGTAAGTTGTAAAAACCACATCTGTCAGTTACCTTTTTATATGTCACTATGTGTTTTTAGGAGTCTGGACAACTGACCTTCCAGCAGTATGCATGTTTGCAAAGGGACAAAGCAAAGAGTACGTTCCTGACCTTTTCCTTTTACCTTGCTGATATTTCTAGGCGAATGTTCGAATCCTTGTGTTCTGTTACGAAATCTGTCAATGTTCTTCACCTAGGCGTTTTAAGTAGATGGGGAAAGCGTTTTTAATTTGCAAATTTTGGTTTTGTATGCTTGGATGTCATCAATCCAACAATCTTGGAGAGTATAATATTTGGTAGCTATATAAACTTCCACGTACAAAATGTTTTATTGTATTTGAATTTGATACAAAGACTTCTGCAGATATTGCATTGTCCTAGAAACATGCTGAAAAACTGTTCAAGGGGCTGATGTGGTTATGAATTTGTGTCTAAGTTAATTATGTGCAAGCAACCTGGATCATATCTAGCTGCTGCGACTATTCCAAGAGGATCAATGATATCTAAGCGCAGCCTAAGGAAAGCCATTCTAATTAAGGCCTTAATCAACGCTTGTATGTGCAATACCGAAAACTCGAGATGGGGAAGATAACCTTCGAACTGAGGCTAACAACGCGTTTATAGATAGATGCAAGCTCTTAAGTTATCGACAGCAGTATGAACAGATATTGCAAGGTTAGGTCTGCTGCTACTTCTTGCAGCCTGGACTTAGTTTTAACTCTTTCAAATCATATTATCTTGTTTTGGTGTTGTAGTTCATTAGTGGTATTGGCTTGAGGAAACTTTTTTGGTCCCATGCATTTTTCTTTTACGGAGTGATATTCTAATCTAAACCCTATAGAGTTCGGACTTGAGTGTGTAAGGAGGCACACTATCTTAGCCAACTCGGTCTTATGTACTATTACAATCAATTATAGCTGAAATTTGTTTCATGTAAAACTAAACGTATGGGATGAATGATACCTTAACTTTATTTGATGCAGGATTTGATGGACGGACTGCTTCAAGTGGTGATGATAACACATGCATCTCCCCATAATATGCTGTTTATGTATGCTGGTAAATTGGATCATAGAAAAAAAAAGTACGATAGTGAGTTAGTATAAAATGATTCTGTCATACAGTTTCTCTTTATTATTAAGTAAAGGATCTGTAAAAACTCGAAATTTGGAGTTACCAAGAAAATTGTGTGCTTTACTTGGGTGTAAATACAAGTCATACCATACGTATTTATTGTCTCTCACCTCTCTTCACGTCACGTGATGAGAAACAGTAAAATGCGAGTAAATACACCTGGTAACAGGTAGAAATGTGATAGCTTGTGTAAAAGTTTGGCATCATCATTAAATTATCCATTTTCAATTTGAGCCCACTGAGATGCCGTAAGCAGAATGATTCGAATCTATTTCAGAAATATCGACTTCTAGCATCAGCTCATCTTAATTTGTCTTATGCTTTGAGTTTTGTGAACTTTAATACTCCCCCACGCCAAAGTTGCAGTCGATACTATGAGTAATTTAATTAAGAAAAATATGCAGGAAAGCTAAAGAAGAATTTATTAATGTTATAAAATTAAGAAGAAGTCTTAAATCATTGTTGGTTAAACAAGTGCAGTACTGTATGATAATGACCTAATTTGCATTGTTTTTGTACAGTTGTATTGCATGGCAGCTCCTAGGCCAATCTTGATGAATACATCTCAGCCGTTGAATCATAAAATCTTCAAGGATTGCAAGGTGACTTTTTGACAAAATCAACCTCACGAATGGCTTTAGACGGGGAGAGGAGCTTCCCTCTGTGCGACTATAGTTCATATTAATCAAGCATCGACTTATCTTTTCAACTTCTCACGTGGCAACACTAGATTAACTTGAAATACTGTTAATTACAATTGTATTTTCGTTACAGGTAAGTTTTTCTTGTTCCAAGAGCAATTGTTATTATACCAACATTAACATGGTTGATAAGAAAATCTTTCTAAAAGTGATTTTCAAACTTATTATTTGTTTTCTATTATCTTTTAGATTGAATAAATCAAAGAAAATCAAGTGAGATAGACAACGAGAAAGAGTGCAAAAGGAGTAAGTGGGAGAGTGAAAATTACTGCACTTTTTTCTCTAAAGTTTGGTTCTTTTAAATATTTCTCATTTACATTAACAGTTATCTAAAGATTACACTAAGTAAGGATTAAATAAATAATTAGAGAAAAAATATGACTTTGTCACAGCCAAAATCATTGTTCCAAAAGGGCTGACAGAACATTTCCACCCGTCACTAGGCTGCCGGCGCCATATATTTTTCAAATAACTAAACCTTAGCTAGCCAATGTCTTTATCTCCCTACTCTCTAGCATCAAGGTAAACAATAAGAATCCAAGCTCTCATTCTATAGAGTCGGCAACCCACATCAACTTTGAGAGTTTCTTCTCCTATCTATCCCGTATATTGCAAACCCTACTTACACCAACGCTAGATCTTCGAAAAAGAATGAACAAAATCTTCGTCTTGGTAATCTTCTTTTCGTTCTCCCTCGTCCTCCACAAAACGCATTCTGTGGACGTTGAGGTCAAGAACTCACTCATCATCTTCCTCGCCAAGCTTTCTAATGGTGTCCAACCCGGCCTCTCATGGGGTTGGATCCCTTCCTCTGATCCCTGCAAGGCGCACTGGCAGAATGTTGCCTGTGATTCTCTCAACACCACTGTCACAGAACTCTTTCTCAATGGCCAAAACCTCACTGGCACGCTTGATGTTGCTTCGCTTTGCAACACGAAACCTCTGGCTGCCTCTCTTACCACCCTTGCCCTTGACGACAACAACATTGCTGGACAAATTTCAGGTGAGATTGGACACTGCAATCAGCTCACTCAATTCACTGTCAGCAACAACCGCCTTTCGGGTACCCTCCCTGAGTCCCTTGCTGCACTGGAAAACCTCAAAACGCTCGATTTTTCGAACAATCAGCTTACAGGGCTGATTCCGAATTTTGACTTCTCCAAATTCGACAAGTTCAATGTCTCCAACAACAAGTTCCAAGGACCAATCCCTAACACGAACGGCTTTGTCCAATCAAACAGCTTCTTGGGAAACTCCGAATTGTGTGGAGATCCGTTGCCAAACAAGTGTCCGTCGTCATCTGTGACAGCGGATGAGAAGTCGAATAATTCGAACGGCGTCTCAAAAAATAAAGTGATTATATACATAGGATATGCTATTTTGGCATCGGTTTTTGTTGCGCTAGTAATTTTCAAAATATGTACAAAGAACAAAAAGGAAGATAAAAAGGTAGATGCCGTGAACAAAGTTTCGGCAGTCGATGAAAGCATGAGCAAAATTAGTGCAGCATCAAGTGAGTTCAAAGGAGGATTGAGCAAGTCGAATTATTCTGTCACATTTTCAGCTGATGATGAGAGCCAGAGCAATAATATGGTTTCGTCTTCACTTGTCGTCCTCAAGAGCCCCGTGGTGAACGGACTGAAGTTTGAGGACTTGCTCAAGGCCCCCGCCGAGTTGCTTGGGAGAGGCAAGTATGGCAGCCTCTACAAGGTCATCTTAGAAGACGGAATGGTACTAGTAGTGAAAAGGATAAAAGATTGGGCAATTTCAGGTAGCGATTTTAAGCAGAGGATGGAGAGGTTGTACCAGGCCAAGCACCAGAGTGTGCTGCCGGCTCTTGCCTTTTACTTTTCGAAACAAGAGAAGCTTCTGGTGTATGAGTATCAACAGAATGGAAGCCTCTTCAGACTCAACCATGGTACTAAATCTAAATCCTTTTGCATATTTTCATAAAATATAGTTTTTTTATGACATTATTTGGGAAACACTATTTTTTTATTTGCACATTACCTTTAAATTGAATAAATTAAAAGAGAGCGAACAAAATAACGCAAAAATCAGATTCTATATTCTTTCGTTTTACTAAATTCATGATTAGCATACTAGGGTCACCAAAAAATTTCCTAAATGTTTAGTTAGCAATTACAAGAACAATAAAGTTTTATCCCATTAAGTGAGGTCAGCTGTATAAATCATAGAACGTCATAGTGCTCAATTTTGTGTCAAGTCTTTCCTTTAGCTCCAAATATTATATGTCGTTTCTTAAAATCTCCTTCAGAATCTTCTTAGGTCTTACGCTGCTAGTCCCAAACCCGAATAAAAGAGAAGGGACATGGTATGAGGTAGTCCACAACTGGCACTTGTTTTCACATCAAATCTCTATGATGATGCTTTAGTTAGCAATGATGTGGTTTTGAGCTGGGTTTTCTGATTTCTTTATGTAGAATGATTCTAACATATAGTAACAACTGTATGGTTCAGGAAGCCATAGGGGCCAAGCATTTGACTGGAACAGCAGGCTCTCCGTTGCTGCTCGCATAGCAGAAGCATTAGCTTTCATGCATGAGGAGCTTCGCACGGAGGGGATTGCGCACGGCAACTTAAAATCCTCCAACATCTTACTCAACAAGAAAATGGAGCCCTGCATAAGCGAATACGGCCTCATGGAAATCAACGATCAAGATAACCAACCGCCGCTCAAGGCTTCTAAGGCCGGCAGTACCTCAAGCGCCTTCAAGGGGGACGTTTATGGGTTTGGTGTGATCCTTCTTGAGCTGCTCACAGGCAAACTTGTGCAGCACAACGGCGTGGATCTGACGGTTTGGGTTCACTCGGTGGTTCGAGAGGAATGGACAGCAGAAGTGTTTGACAAAACCCTAATGTCGGAATGCGCGAGCGAGGAGAGGATGGTGAACTTGCTGCAGGTGGCTATAAAGTGTGTGAACCGTTCTGCGGAGGCTAGGCCGAGCATGAACCAAGTTGCCCTAATGATCAACACCATTGTAGAGGAAGAAGAAAGATCCACCGACTTTGATCCACAATCATCCCAATTAAATTAGTACTTTAAGCCCATATTTATCTATATTTCCATGTAGCAATTAAGTCAATATATAGCATACACCATTTTCGAACAAATGTTTGTATTTTGAACCAATAAGACTATAATATGTAGCCACTATCTCATGTTCTGATCAAGATCTGAGTTTTGCTGTGATATTTTATTTTTTTACTCTTTTAATCGTGCAGCTAAATTGCTAGCTAGAATTAATCCTTAGTCACACGTACTATTTATCAATGGACTTCGCCTTAGAACACCTTGTTAAGTGTTAGATCTTTTTGGGATGCTATATCTTGAAATCTTTGGAAAAAAAAACCACATGGATCATAATGACTTAAGATTTAAAGAAAACTTTTTTATGATTGAAGAACGCAGGCAGGAGCTGAACAAAGTTGGCTAAAGTGGTGTCCTTCTTCATCTGTACTCAAGTTTGAATTTTCATTTCCATAATTTAGATTAGATTACAAAGCTAAGCAGTTTGAGGCACAAGAGTAGTGTGCTCTAGCTTTTGCTTGTTATTGGTAGAGAAAGCAAACCTTCTTCCAATTGTTAGAAACTGCTTGAGTAACTGGCTTGTGAGAGGCATATATTATAAGGAATTTTAACGAAAAACTTACGGTACTGTTTACTTTAATAAAAAATCACATTTTTATATTAAAAAGTTAGCCTTAATTTTGACAAAAAACCACTTTAATGAAAAGCTTAGGTGGTTGAAAAACTTGTTAACGAATAGTGTTTTGATGAAATTGCCCTGCCCATCCATGCAGTTTTTTGGTTTTGCACAATGAATTTATGATGTCAGCCTTGGTTTACACCTGTTGGTCATCGTGCAAAGTGAATCACTTCTATTCCTTGGCTTGTCAAGCATCTTTTGGGCCTCCTCACTCACTCACTCCCATTTACGAGAATTAAACGACGACCTTGGCTTGAGACCAAGACCTCCTAACAACTCGCTATTCCTCAAAATAGAGGTTCCTCCTCTATCCCTTCAACCTTAACTGGCTACGGTAGTTCTAAAAATGCATAATATGAAATCATGGAATTTATGAGGAGAGAGGATCATCGCCGAATGTTCTTTATGAAGATTCTGGAGATCCTCCAATCACATTCGTTCATCGTATATCGTACAGTTAGTTTTCGTTAGATACTGTTTATATTCAATTTTAAATAAAAAAAAATTACAATTATTCCTAACCTCACAGTATATAATAAACAAATGTAATTTAAGGATCCAGCGAGAGTTCTCATTCTTTTACTAGAACCACCAATTGCCATTTGAAGTAGTGATGTGCTAGTGACAGACAGAATCATGAATTGCAGCACAAATTTGGTCATCCTGTACGAACCAAAAACGATGCTAGTCAAGCAAAAAATGATGAAGTTTAATAATGCCAAAATGGAGTATCCTTTATGTATTCTGAAAGGACCCGTCACCCAACAGCCACTGATTGTCTACTCAACATCGGATGCAACGGCTTGAGTTCACACATAATGCGTCCATGGCGGTGATTTTCACACTCGTTATCTCATTCTGTATTATTTTTCTTGTATTTTTTTATTACTTTTCGTTTGATTTATTTAACTTCAAAGCTGAAAAAACAAAGTGCAAAAAGAAAGAAAAGAGTGAGAAAATCATCTCCCCTGCCAAAAGATCCAAGCTTAATGCGTATAATTAATTTGTAGATATTCATTCTTGAAGGCTATGATACTCATTACTTATGTTGACACCAAATTAGTACGTTTGTAATTGACATATTATAGACACGTTAATTAATATTATATCGATCATCCATTATTTTTTTTATTTTTATTCTAGCAATATTCACTTTAAACTAATCTAAAATGTATATAGAAGAAAATTTAAACTTGAGTACATTGTGAGAAGGACATTTGTTCAACCACTGTGATTATGTACACGTTTGGATTGATGTTCTTTTCTTTAATATATAATGGACTATTAACTATAGGTCCGAAATGCAAAGATTAATGTTCTACTATGAATATAACAACTGGCAACAGGAAGTTGTTAACTCTATGTAAAGCAACAATTTTAAATCATTACTCTTCAAACTGTTTACCACCTGCCTTGGCAGTCAGTAGAAACAACATTTAATAAAACCTACGAAGAAGTTGGGGTTCATCATAAAATCAATTGGCAATATAGGAAGTAGCTCAACTACTTATAAGTACATACTGATGCAAGTCCTTCCTTTCCTCGATGTGGGGTTGATGCTCTCAACACACACCCTCATGTGTGGTGAATCCACATGAGGTAAATTTTGAAGCCTAACATGTGAACAATATAAATTGGATGACGCGGAGCATATGTGGATGTTAGGGGGAACAACCTGGTCAGATACCGTGAAGAAGTTGGGTTTTATCGTATAACAATTGGCAATATGGAGAGTAACCCAACTACTTATAAGCACATGCAAGGTTCTTGCTTTTCCCGATGTGGGATTGATGCTCTCAACATAGTGAAGAACATTGAGGTTCCACTATAAAATCAATTGACTTTATGGTGAAGCCCAACTTTTTTTATAATATCTGTGCAGGTTGTCCCATATGTGACCAATGGCCACACTTGTTCCACGTCACTCGATTTGTATTGTCCATATGCTAAGCTTGAAAATTCACCACTTGTGAGGGGGCATGTTGAAATAATCAATCTCGCATCAGAGAAAAAAAAGACCTTACATGTACTTATGAGTAATTTGACTACTTTTTATATTGTCAATTCTCATATTACCAATTAGTATTATGGTGAATCTAACTTTGTTCAACCTAAACATCACCAGATAGTTTGCGTGGCAAATTAAACATCATCAAATGGCAATCATATATGTTTAATTAACAGATGGAGAGATTGATTAGGGAGAGAAAAAGAAACATCTGGCCAGACTAGCCTTCCTGTGACTTGTGAAGATGGATTATGTACCTAACTGCAAGCAAAGACTTCCTAATTATTTTGTCATCTTTCTTATCATTTTCCAAGTAAATTGTGATTGCAATCCAAAACCCTCACCTAATTGCCTTTAAACTCAAGATAAAGTATTCTCAATTTCATACTTTAAAGGCACACTCAATTAACCATCAAACACGTAATATCTTTAACCTAAAATGTTAAAAAATTGCAACAGATTAGCTGAATTAATTCATATAGAAGAGAAACTTGAGTAGTTACACAACTAATAATATATAAAAGTAAATTATTTGTTGGTCTATGTTAACATTCCACTTGTTTTATGAGTAATCGATTATGTGAAAAATTTATGCTAAATAATTTGCATCACAGTGATGAAAATTTGCACTCATAACTTACACTTCACTTTTTTTTTTCTTTTTTTATCAACATGGAGAGAAGAATCACACTTCCAAACTCTTCTTTCCAATACTCGCACATTTCGGATGTTGAGACTCGACTCCTGAACCTCAAGGGAGAAGGTGATATACCCAACCAACGGGTGTATAAGGGCCGATTAGACTAATAGTTGAAAAAAAAAATATTACTAAACTAGGAGTTGGTTGATAATTACATTTTATTTAGAAACTCGTTATAAATATGAGTCTTTAAACAAAATAATTTGAATGTAACTATGAGACTATAGAGAATTAGATTTTATTTCTAAAGCGGTATTTAAAAAAAAAATACGAAAAGCTACGAGTGTAGTTGCATTGGTTAGAGAGAATATACGTCTAGCTATATTCGAGTTTGAATCTTTATTTCTACAATTTAGAGTAATTTAAAGCATAATATTATTTGTATAAAATAAAAAAAGAAAAATTACGAGTCATCGTATAATAACAATTATGTGTTCATAACATATCAATAACAAAACGTACCTTTAAAAAACGAACGAAATTATCTTGACTAACTGGCCCACTTGCATCGAATTGTTAATCCATCACCAGAATTGGCTCATAACCCAGTTCACATTTTCAAACAAATTAGGTTCAAAATGGAGTAGGGTGTCACATCTCCAATACTACCAAAATATTTCTTTTACCAAACTATTTGATTTTACAAAACTGCCACTTGGATGTGTCCTAGAAAAAAAAATTAAAAAAAAAAACTTTAACGAAAAACTTCCGGTGTTTACTTTAACGAAAAATCATATTTTTATACTAAAAAGTCAATCATGATACTATTCATTTTACCCTTTATTTTATCTTTATTGTTAAAATTCAAAATTTTCAAATTATTTTCATTAATTTTTTTAAAAAAAAGTCATCTACCTGGATCACCTAGATGGCTGGTTCGTTATCCTACAACCTAATCCACCGGAACACAGACGATCCTTTTCTAATCAACCCGGGCCCACCTCGAAGCCCTGTTTCCGGGGTTAAGCACGTTGTCGCTTACAGTTGACCATACGACCCCTAGGCGCTCCCTTAAGCGCGTGGGAGCCAGACGTTAGTTTTCTTTTTGGCACTTTTGGAGCTCTCGCCACTGTCACCCTTCTGCCCCCCCTCTCTCTCTCTCTCTCTCTGCTTCCATCAATCAAGAACTCCAGAGAGAGAAAGAGAAACCCAACTTCACTTTCCTCTTCTTTTGTCGGTACAATTTGCGGGCTGAATTCTTCCCTTCTGCAACTTGGAAGGCGGCAAAGAGCATCGTTTTGTTGCAGAGCTTTTGAAAATGACATGAAAAATGGTGGATTCCTCAGAAGAATCAAGTTAGGTATGCTCCATTTTTTTTTATTCTGTAATATTATTGTCAGATTCTGTCAAGTTATCAGTCGATTTGGTGTGAAAATTGAAGGCATACAAACCCACAATAGTAGTTAGATAAAAATACTGGTATGTATCTGCAAAAAAAAAAAAAAAGTTGTGCGGTACGGATATCTGGTGATGAAGGAAGAAAAAGTGATTTAATTTAGCTTAATTCCATGAAATATGAATTGGGTTTGTGTTTGATTGGTCTCTGAGTAGAGAGAAGAGCATGGTATTTGGTTGTAAGATATGTATGAACATGCAAAGGGCTCGTAGCTCGGTTGGTTAACAGCATTCGTCCTTGCACCGGAGCTCCGGAGTTTGATTTCACCCTCCCCCAATATTGCTTGTAGCAGAAAGCGATATGATATCTCGAATGGCAGAGGGGAAAGATCTTAGATGGTTTTCAGGGCACACCCATTTGAAGATGTCTCGGGTTGAGCATCAAATCCAGATTAAAGATGGTTATTTGAGCTACCCTCCTCCTTTTTCTCTTCACTCTTCACCCCCATATGCTGGAACTTTTCGTAGTGAATCGAACTCGAATCCATCGCCACCATCATCATCCGGCACAAAAATAAGTCCTGCTGTTCTTTTTATAATAGTGATTCTGGCTGTGCTGTTTTTCATCTCCGGTTTGCTTCACCTGCTCGTTCGATTTCTTACCAAGCACCCGTCTTCCTCAGCGGATTCTCAGTCTAATAGGTACCCAGAAATGTCTACTGCTGATGCTCTTCAGAGACAGCTGCAGCAACTCTTCCACCTTCATGATTCTGGTCTAGATCAAGCTTTTATCGACGCTCTTCCTGTTTTCCAGTATCGGGACATTGTGGGTTTGAAGGAGCCGTTTGATTGTTCCGTTTGCCTTTGTGAGTTTACTGAGAAGGACAAGCTCCGATTGCTCCCTACGTGTAGCCATGCTTTCCATATCAACTGTATAGATACTTGGCTGCTGTCAAATTCAACATGTCCTCTTTGTAGGAGTACCCTCTTTAATCCCGAGTATTCAGTTGAAAACCCAATGTTTGATTTTGATGACTATAGAGAAGAAGAAGGGTATCCTGGTAATGGAGAAAACAGGTTCGCTTCAAGGCAAAAAACCGTGGACATTGAGGAAATTGTTGTCGATAATGGGATTTTGCCGGTGAGACTGGGAAAATTTAGAAAGGTAGATGCTGAGGTAGGGGAGCCAGGAGGAGGAGAGAGTAGTAGCAGTAGATTGGATGCAAGAAGATGTTTTTCAATGGGTTCGTATCAGTATGTGCTTAACGATTCCGACCTTCTGGTTCCCTTATCAAATGATCAACAAGGCCACAATGTAAAGCCAACAAGAGGGATAGAAAACAATGGTAATCTTTCAATTGATAGTGACATGGAGGGAAAGAAGATCAGCAGTGTGACTAAGGGTGAAAGCTATTCTGTTTCCAAGATCTGGCTCTGGTCGAAGAAGGGCAAGTTTTCAAGCTCGATAGATACACAGATGGGTATGCCTTCCTCTCTTAATACAGACTTGCCATGGATGAAAAGAACGCAACCAGAATGAGAGGTATATTCTTTATTGTTTACGTGGTTGCTTATTAATTCAAAGCGTGTTATACCTAGTTTTGCCCTTCCAAATTTTTTTGTAATGCTAATTCTGTACTTGTGATGATTGATTGTGTACCGTGTCGTGTACTTTCTTAAAACCGGATATAATGTCTTGTGAAGAAGGGGTTTTCTAATGTTAGGGAATGACAATACTGGCAGCTGAGATATGGGCTATGCCATTCTTGTTGTGGGAAACTTGTGTTAATCTTGTCAGATGGATTGCCCTTTCGCGCAGTTTGTTTAAAGTAATTTCAAAGTAGCGGAAGTTATCTAGGCCGGAAAATCCAAATGTTGTTGTAGTTCGTTGGTTATGGGATCCATGGAATTAGGTCTAAAATATATGCAGTTAGAACTTCATGGTGCCCTCTATCTTCTCCATAAGGTTTTCTCCAAGATCCTTATTTGGCAAAGATAATTCGAGACAAGCAATCCAATCAATCCTATTGAAGGTTTTGACCTTTCCCTTTAAAGGTCTCAATTGACAATTTTCTTCTTGTACATTTCCATTTGTATGTTCATGAGCCAATCTATGGCCAGGGGTCAAGTCAAGTGCATTTTCTCTTTTATTGCCTTTTGATTGGTCAGGTAGCGATTTTCGCACTCAGTTTTTTTTCATGCAAGTTCTTCATTTTTCTAATTTTCGGATTGAATGAGGGAAAGTTAGGAAAAGTAAGGGACATAGAAGTTGAAGAGTGCATAAAGAGAAAACGAGTGCGTGAAAATCGCTAACTATTTTTTAACACAATCTATAGGAACTAAGTAGTGATCTATTTTGGGGTGGGCAGTTGGACAGGGTGGGGATCCATGAAAGCTGTGTGACATAATCTTTTGCTTCTTGTGAAACGGGACCCTTTTATTCAAAAATTGGCTGTAGTGGGGTCACTTTTTGGCCCTTCCCATGTGGCCAAGTTGAAATCAAAATTCCCCTCATAATTTCAAATATTTGTGCTCAATAATCAAGCAAAAAAGTTGAGGTTTCCACATTGTATTTGTATTAACTCAAATAAGATAATATCAAGGTAATAAATAAGGATCGGATCCGTGATATCATTCTAATATTATTGTAGGAATCACTCCGTTCAATGAGTTGAACTATTGATTTTTTAGAATATTGTTCATAGATTATTTTTGCAAAAATTTGAATAAATCCAAAATCATTAAAACATTCATTTGTTGGAAAGAAAACGAATGAATATTGTTTTACAAATAAACCCTAAGCCTTAATTTAGGGTTATATGATTTTAGATTTTGATGATTTAGGATATACATGATCTTTAAGGGAATATCTAAAAGATAGACGGTTCAAATCGTTAAAGTACATTACAAAGTGGGTCTCACAAAAATGTGTCAATAGTTGTGTAAAAAAAATAGTATCACGAATCTATCCCGTTAAACAAAATAAATACTAATTAATATTTTTAGCTTTAACCCGTGATTTTGTTTTGGGAGAAGAGTTGTCAACCGAACTGGCTACTAACTACTAAAAATATTGCAAGAAAAAAATCAGAACAAAAAAAATAAAGACGTTGTACCAAGAAACAGATTTGAATGGTACTACTTTATGTGTTATTTTGGGATTCGATTGGACTATGCAGATTTTTTTTGTGCGTCAAAAGGATTGGAATGTGTGTGTGTGTGTGTGTGTGTGTGTGTGTATTCACGGTGAATGATCGTGTTTTTGGTAATAGAAAAATGTATCACACGGTCACCAATGCACCAACAAATAAGTAAGTGTGAAGAGGCCTTTTTAAGTATTTGCGGGGTCCACATATTCTCGTTGATGAAAAATTTCAGTGTGCTCATAATAAGAGATGTCGAATCACATATTATTATATAATTGTAGAAAAAAATTATTTTTCAAATATCTCTTCACTTATATAATGATGTGTGATATAACAATCTATGTTCTAGACACAATGAAATATCTCTCGTTGATAAGTACATTAGGGATGTCCACGCAACTAAAATAACAGAATAAGATAGATTAGGGATTTGTCCCTTGTACATAGGCTATGTAGATAAGGTTGTGTGTTGAAACTCGAGATACATCTGTGATTTGCTCCCCTTGTACAATTGTATGGTAGAAGTTAATTAGGGCTCATCTGACACTGTTTTAGAAAAGCTAAAAGCATTTAGTAGATAATTAAAAAGTGCTTTTAAAATAATTAATTAAGAACTGTTTTCTAAATGATCAAATTTGCAAGCTTGATAACCAATAGCGTTCCGGTGCCCTATTGAGTACATGTTTGTAAAAATGTCAAGCTAAGGAGATTTGTCAGTATCTTGATCATCTGATCGAGAAGTATCACATAGATAACTAAAAGTTTATGGAATTGTTTGGCAGAAAATTTAAAGTTACTTTTGGATTATAAAAGCACTTCTAGCCAAAAATCAAGAAAATGATTTCGGCGCAATGGATATGCATGTTAGTTTCTCACATTTGAATTTCCTCTTGAATAAAAAAAGATGAATAGAAGAAAAAGAGTAGCTTGCGTAAATCATGTGATGAACATTATAAGAAGAATTCATTCTTTCCAAACGGGTCCTAAATCGCATGATACGTAGGTATGCGAGGCCCAACCCAGTAGATGGAGGGAATGGAATCTGGATGAAGAAGGTAAAAGCTTGTGGACGGTTGGTCTGTGGCAACTAAATAAGGGGACATGGATGCAAAAACTCCCTACCAGAATCTTGGATATCACCGAGAACATATTCTCGTCATCCTATAATACTCATCACATAACTTTGAATAAATGATCAGAAGAGATAAAGATGCAAGAGTTTGGCTATCATTGAGCGCCGATATATCTTCATCTAACTATATATAATACTCATCACATGACTTCGAATGAATATTTACAAAAAGATAATAATCGACAAAAGATATTAAAAAAAAAAAAGTGGTAATGTGGAGAAAAGGATGACTTGCAAACAATGGCGGATCTAGAAAATATTATTGAGGGAGTTGATAAGAATAGCACGTGCAAAATAGCATGCAAATTTCCATTTCATAGAGTCCTAGTAGGCTTGAGATCATTTGCCGAGTATTACACACCTGTCAACATATGCCAACAACTTGTGAGCGAGCATGTTAGTCAATAGCTTTTAGGCGAGCATGCTGACAAATGTTAACGTCTGCCGAGTGAACTTATTGAAATATGCCCATAGCAACGCATACAAAGGTATGAGGTTAGCAGCTACCCTGTCTAGTGTCTATAAAGACAATTCGTTGAGTAGTTAGATGACAACTTGAGCATCTCATGCTTTCAAAGGGCAGCTCCCAATTTTTCTGTAGAGAATTTCTACGAATGGGGGGAGGAGGGGTCGGCTGCCCCAACTTTCCCAAGGTGAATCCGCCCCTACTTGCAGAAAGAAGAGAGAAAATGCATTCATGAGGGCAGTTTTCATCGTGTCTGCTACCTAACCATGATATGCAGATGAGTGCGTACTGCGTAGGGCCTTAATAATTAAGTCACGTTGGATTTTTACATGTACGAGGAACTTATAGCAACTTGCCCATGGGCCATGGCTTGTAGCTTTGTGGGTGTCTTCCTTGTCAAACACCACACAAGCACAAAGTAAATGATCTTGAGTATAAGGATTTCCATCACTAGTAAAAATCTAAAACTCTCATTTGGTTGCTCGGATTACATTAGAATGGATAATCGAACATATTTGAGGGGAAAAAATAAAACAATTATGTCCAACTTAAATGTAAAAGATAACTTATCGGGGACATTACCTATTATAGCTTTTACTTTCAATATACTTAAATTATACCAGTTATCGATTTCAATTCGACCCTAGAGACCAAACGAGGTCTAAAGGCAACAAACCAGTCATTAACAAGAGAATAACTTACATGCAACTGAATTGTTAAGACAATGCGCGACATCTAAATTCAATTGCGCGATGTCATGTAAAATGAATATAATACACAATACATACGATATCACAACGTGTTAGTCGCATGCAAAGATCTCTCCGGTGACGGAACCAGGATCCAAAACAGAGGGCCACAAGGGATGAAATTGTACCACAAAACATAAGAGTTTTTAAGAAATATGGAGGCTAAGGCCATATTTCCTCCGCCGTCAACTCTCCCGCGAAAGGCAAAACCCTGCGCGCATCCCAGAACACCCCCCATCAATTCCCTCCGTTTTCTTTCACTTTCTCTACATCCCCCCCTCATCACGTGACTCTCACGTGAAGGAGGGCGAGTCGCTGCTCAAATCCATCGACGACTTCGCTGACACCGGAATCGACGCGTACCGGCACGAGAAATCCCTGTACAAATAATCATCAATCAAATTACCGTTCTGCCCCGGGCCTTCGTCGAAGTTGAGGGAGTAACTCGTGGGGTCGTATTGAAATTTCCCGGACCGCCTGGGGTTGTTTTTGTTGAACCGCCGGATGAAGGTCTTCCACTTGGGACCCGCGAGGAGTTCGGACCACTCCCGGATCTTCTTCCAGCCGCGGTACAGCCACGGATCCTCGTATTCGCCGGCGGACCGGATCCGCTCCCACGACCGGTCGGGAGAGGAGGGTTCGGGTCCGAAGCAAGGGATCCAGAAACAGCACCCGCTTCTTCTCGCGAGCATCAACTCCTCCCCGTCATCGGATTCCGCGGCGGAGTCGGTCTTCGGATTTGGAACGGCGTCGTACTCGGTTTTCGACGACATTTTAAAACCGAAAATTCGGAAATTTTGGAGAAAATTAAGGCTTGGAAATCAGAGGGAAAATTGGGCAGAGAAAGAGAAAGATTTGAGGAATTTCGATTTGGGTAAAATCCCTAAATCCATAAATCTTTCTCTTTCTGCAAACCCTAAAGCCCTCTCTCGATCGATTGCTCTCTGGATTTCCCGATCCGGGAGCGAGGATTTGGAGGGAGACAAATATAGGTCGATTTGTAAAGGCATTCTCGCTGGAGGTCAAACTTATTTTACCGGGAAATTCTGGTTGCCAGCAGTTAATCGGAGAACCAGCTCAGAATTCAATGGAAGTGACATGGTAAGTCAGGCATCTGCGATGAGGGTATGTTCGTAATTTAGTAGTTAATTAGTTCTATCTGTCACTGGCGGGAACTGACTGTTTCTGATTAATCATATTTTTAATTTCGTATTATTAATTCCAGGTTAATTATGGGGAATTTATATATTTATCATTTGTTTAATTAAACAGATTGGCTTGTTTTAACTTAAGAAAATGAATCAGCAACATTGTTAGATCCGGTCAAGACTTATTGCATCGTTGCTATTCATAGGGAACAGCTATTTTTTATTTTTTTAGTCGAACGCCACAAGTATCAAATTTTTAGTATTGATTATAATGGGAATTTCTTGAGTGCTACGTAATATTGAATAATTACGCTCATAATGACTATGAATGAAGATAAAAGATCTAAATAGTTGTGGAAATCAATTCTAATGACTAATTGTAGTTAACGCAGGGCCATTTTTGACTCCCAAAATACTACAGGTTGAGAGAAAAAGACCGAGAAAGGCCTGATAAAATTCAAGGCTAAGTGGAATTGGAGAGGGGCATTTTTGAGCACTGCAGCCGACCGCTCATTAGTCTGGTTTGAGCAAGCAACATAAACAAACATAAATACTTTTGTACCTTCAAGGACACGTGGGAAGACTACAACTTTATGGCACAAGGCTTTAGGGGTAGGCCTACTCAGATGCTAATCAACCGCATGTCGGTCACCAATCAAAAGCAGAAGTTTATGACAATATATAAAGGCAGTCAGGTGACTACTCGGAAGAGATATCATTGACTAGTCAAGGCAACGTGGGAAGACTACAACTTAAACATGAGTACTTTTTGACCTTCATTAGTCTAGTTTGAGTAAGCAACATAAACATAAGTACTTTTCGATCTCCAAGGACATGTGGGAAGACTGCAACTTTATGGCACAAGGCTTTAGGAGTAGGCCTACTCAGATACCAATTAGGCTGCGTTCGGTCACCAATCAAAAGCAAAAGTATAGGACAAGATGTAAAGGTAGCCGAGCGACTACTCGGAAGAGATATCATTGACTAGTCAAGGCCGAGCAGGTCGCTCGACACGTATCGACCTAGAAGAACGTGCATTCCAACAGAGTGATTGTCGCTTCACCGTCGAATAACGGCTTATGGGCGAAAAGGTTGTTAGCACACCATTCTACACGTAGCTAGCACATAAAATACTAGAAAAGAGAAAGTATTTAAGCATAAGGCTTTCTGGGTTCACTAAGGCCTATAAAAAAGGGTGGGAACCTCTTGTAAGGGGATCAGACAATTGAGAAGAAAGAGAATCCTACTCTATAGCCGAGCGCTACTCGTAACTTTCAATTTAATATATTACGAGCAACACTGTAAATCTAGCCCAATTTTGAAAGGTGAACCAATTAAATCCTGGGTCTATTTATTTCATAGCTTTGATCCCAGCCACCAAGAGCTTATTGTTCTAGTTTGTTAACCTGTAAATTTGAGTGGTACCAATTGTATATGTGCATTGAATTCACACCCGATTACAACATGAAACTTCTTTCTTTTCTGATTTCTGGGTGTTAACGTGAAAATTGAAATGTCCTCGTTTTTTTATTTCCTTCATCTTTTCCTCATTTTTGTCAAGGGAAGTAGGCTAGCCATGTTTGACTGAAGCAACCTAATTGACATGAATTAAGCAGATTTAGTGTGTGATTTTTTCCTTGAACATCAAGTAAGCACCTCTTCTTCTTCCTTTTTTTTCTGCCTTGAACATTAAGCAAATTGTTGACTTGTAGGATCAACGTGGCTTTCTATATTAATGTTCTTCATTTCAGAGAGAAAAAAAAAAAACAAAAATCATTTTTTGAATTAATGTATTAACATATATAGATAAATAATTTTCAAATTATTTTATTTATGCATGGTTGGTCAAGTAAATCATCGATATATTCTTTAAAATTTTGTGCGTGTGTAGGAAGTTGCAGATTTTAAATTACGACTGGAACAAGTCGAATCAAACTTGACCTACTGGTAGGGAAATATCCAAAGCTGTTGAGTCGTTTGCATAAAAGTCAATGAGGTCAGTCTAATCTAATGCAAAAGCGATCAAACGTTGCCGCCTCATATATCCGATTCTACAAAGAAACTTTAGAGCTTAATTTAAAGGTCATATGATTTTAAATTTTGATGGTTTTTTTGTACGTATAATCTTTGAAAGAAAACCTAAAAGATAGACAATTCGAATTATTGAAATATATTATGAAGTGAGTCTTATAAAAGCGTGTCAAAAGTTGTGTAAAAAATGGTGTCACAGATCAGTTCCAATATATATATAAAGTATTATTGACACTTCAAAAATCTAATTGTGCATTTTTCATAAAGGTATTTTTCTTTTAAAATATAAAATTAAAATTTTGAAGTATCAATAACAATTCTAAAAAAAAAATACATAAATTACTTCTTTATGTTTGCATTCTCTTGCTGAATCGGTCAACTGCTATATGATAAACAGTTTTAACTATTTATTTGTTTATTTGTATATAATATAAACAATTATATAAAACATGGTTGAATGAGAACAATTATGTAATACATGTTTGAATGAGCTGCAAGTCACATATATACATCAAAGAAACCCTAGTAATCAAACAACGTATTGGAGCACTTAACTAGCTCCTTAATTAACTAGAACTAATACTTGAAGTTAACTAGCCAGAGTTGTATCTGTGACAAGTCAAAATACTTAATGCATGTATGACATTTCAAGCATGTATATATATATATATGGAGACGGATTTGCGTGTTACTACTTTTTTTACACAATTTTGGACACACGTTTTTGTGAAACTCACTTTGTAATGTATTTTAACGATCAGAATCGTCTATCTTTTAGGTTTTTCCTCAAATATCATGCCAACCAAAAATCACCAAAATCTAAAACCATATTGACCATTGGATTAAGGGTTTATGTTTTTTTGTATAATTGTATTCGTTCATTTTTTTCACTATAAATAAATGTCTTAATGATTTTAGATTTATATAATTGTTTATAGGATTATTTGATATTCTAAATTATAGACGTTTTGGATCATTAAAATTGGAGTCAACTCTACAGAAATTGTGACAAAATTTGTGAAAAAAAAAAGTGATCGATATAGGGGCATGATGATGGCTATTGGTCAAACCGAGAAAAAATTGGACGACTGATTGAATAGGTCACTGGGTACAAATTATTCAAATTATACTATTACCCAGCTAGAAAGTCAGTCCTATTTTTCCATTTAATTTCCTCTTCAAGACTTTGAATCTTTCTCCGTTGGGTTTTCAGTTTCATCCATGTTTCCTCACATGAAACCACTTCTCATACGCGTTTGTATGGGCACTAAAATTCAAACTAATATTTTCCTCCATTTTTTAGTCAAACAAAACAAGCTTACCATATTTCTCTTATAAATACCAAACCCTCCTTCACAAATTTTTATAACTTCAAAACAAAACCATTCGACTCATTAGAACTAGTGACTCAAATATTCTCCAGAAATCATGGCCAGAGAAATCATTAGCCGCCACCGTTTCGTTGTTGCCCTACTTGTGGTGAGCTTCATTTTGCTCTCTGCCGCAGTCGAAGCCCGTCCTCTTGACGTGCATGGTTCTCCCGTTCATCACCAGATTCATCATCACAGTCACAGCCACCCGGTGCACCACAATCCAAGGAAGGCCGCCGGTCAGAGCGGAGGCGGCGTGGGTAATTACTTTGCCGATGTTCTTTCCCTCTGGGGAATCAAGAATTCTGGTCCAAGCCCCGGCGCAGGCCATTAATATTCCATGCAAAACAAATGAAGGTGTGCTAGCTCCTAGTCCTAGCTAGCTACTCTAGTCTTCAGGGTTCAAATGCAGCAGAGCTAGCTGATAGTGTTATACGATATTGTGGTAGTGATCAGAAAATAAGAAACTGTTTGAATTCATAGTTCACGTGATCATGATCTAGGAGGAACAAGGAAGTCAATTATACTTGTGTAAAAATGTTACATTCTTTAATTTATTCATCGTTCTAGTAGAGAGTTACATGTCTTTGAATTTACATACTACGAGCATCTCCAATAAAAAATATAAATTGTCTTGAAATAGTCAATTTAAAACCTATGAACCAATTTTCACCTCCAGTGGGCTGGAATTTGGGAATGATAAATATCCAACCCGACGGAAAATGGAAAAAAAAAAAAAAAAAAAAACCGCCGATATTTGCCTCTCTTTTTTTCAATCTCGTTAACTGAACCTAGCTTGACAAAAAATTTAAATGGTTTATCAAACAGATGCTTCATATTTAAATTTTATTTTTGTGTTGATAAGTTGAGGCTAGTACGGTGTAGTAGTATTCTTTTTTACTGGTAAATGAGAGATCTTAGGTTTGATTTTCGACACATGCAAATTTGAACTATATTATTGCTAGTCTATTAAGAGGCTAAGTCCATTCCCCTCTCTTTAGTATAGATAATATCGATTGTTAAAAAAAAAATAAATGTTGGAACACAAATTTATTATTTTTCATTTAAAAAGAGAGCTTTGTTAAGAAATCTTAATATAAGCTGGCCCATATGGTATAAGCTAAGAATTATATTTTATGGGCCTGTTTGTCAACAAGATTTCGTGATCCATGGCTGAAAACCACAACCGAACAAGCCACTGCGGTTTAGGTCTGCAAATCAAAACCACTTTGATTCTTTGGATCTCTAGACAGAGAAAAATACACACCTAATCAGAGCTATAAAACTTGCACATTTCCTTGATGACAACTCTGGGAAAGCAAACATTTCCTTGAGAAAATAAGAAATACAACATAAGGGATGATATTCTTGTGTTTTTTGATGGGATAATCAGTAACCAGAGGAATTATAACCCACATAATTGAAACGCTGTCGAATGTTGTGGTGGTTATACCTAGAATCTCCATAGTCTACTGACTTTATCACCACAGCTTCACGCCGTCCATCCTGTTCTTGAACCGCCCCAAACACAATCTCATTTGTCTCGCTGCTCTTCTCGTAGTATGTATTTGGGTTTGTTGAGTAATGCCTGTGATGCTGCTGCTGTTGCTGATGCTGCTGCATCTGCATTTGCATCTGCATATGGTGTCGTTGCTGCTGCTGCAGCTGCAGCTGAATCTGAAGTTGTTGCTGTTGTTGTTGTTGTTGTTGTTGTTGTTGTTGTTGTTTGTGTTGATGTTGCTGATATTCGCCCTCCCATGAATTATAGTAGGCTTGACTTTGCTTCGAACGGCGAGGCTTCTCTAGGTCTTTGGTCATGTATGGATAGGTTTTATTCGGGGTTGGGGATCTGGTTTCTATTGATGGAGGCTCGTCTTCGTCTGGAATAACATAGCTGTCTTGCATGGGCCAAGCATTTGAATGTTCATTAGTTTGATGATACTGCTGCTGTATGTGATATTGTCGGGGCTTACTTCTAAAGCCCGTAAATACTCCCCCAAAGATTTCAGCCACAGACGAGCCGGTGTTGAGAACGATCTTTCCTAGTGAACCAAAGAAGCCGTCATCTAGTTTCTCGGGTTCATCTTCATTTGGAATTAAAGGGGGCCTGACGGATTTTGGAGGCATCTGATATGGTGCTACTGTTGCAGCCCTATGTATAGGAGTTCTTTGGTCCTGTAAATAACTTGCATCATTTGACGAAAACATTGCTTGCACCCTACGCTGCAGCAATGCCAGCATGTAACCAAAGAATGCAGCTGCCATCAGCATTGCTATTCCTGCAATGATGGAGAACAGATTTTAAAGATCAGCATCACCTAAAAGCAAATTACAGTGTTGAAAGTCCAAACTGTTTTAGTTACATACCTAAACCGAAAGTTCCATCGTAGCGGTCATTACAGTCATCATAGTGGAGTTGGATCTCCCGAATCGCCTGGTTTCCTCTGTCTACAACCAAAAGAGAGCAGCTGCTGCCTACGTATACCACATCAAAATCAGTAGAAAACTTTGCGTCTTCACTTGGACCATCAACATGACCACCTCCTCTGCTCCATTGTCCACCAGCAATAGTCGTAACCCCTATACAAAGGTGAAATAAGTGTTTTGTGCCGTTACATTTGACACAACAATTACAGAAGAAAGTGGTGATTCCTTAACCACTATGATGTCTTAAACATCCAAAGACTTACCGGCATCACTTATCTTCCTGATAGCCATATTCATTGTGTCTGCGATATAAATATTTCCTCTATCATCCACAGTCAGCCCTTTTGGGTGGTTCATTCTTGCTTCTCTTGGCCTCCCGTCCACATGCCCAGAGTACCCCTCAGGTGATCCAGAAATCAGCTTGGGTCGGCTATCTGCAAACCATCATTCATTCAGCATATGAAAGAATGATAGGTTCTACCAAAATAAATAAAACAGATAGCAAGCAAGCATTAAACCAGGAACTGTACTGAAACTACTTCTATAACGAAAGAGATAGTTTGAAGACTATATTTGCATATTTCATTGATAATAAATAAAGTAAATCTCAAAGTTTATCTTCTCTTTCTTTAGATGGTTTTGATGATTGATTATACTCGAATGCAAATAAAGCTGAAATTATGAAAGAAAAAAGTGAAATTGCGAATCATTAACTGATAAACAACAAAGATTTTATTTTGAAGGAGCTTAAAGGTATAACATGAAGTATAACAAACCCAAGTTTCCCACGTTAAAGTACACAAAGTAGTTAAATCTAGCTTAGGTTAAAAAAAGAAGTTTAAGATGAGTAAACAAGAAGTTAAACTGGTCATTAGAGAATCCTGGTCTCAAACCAAAAGAAAAAGAAAGTAAATCTCCAAAAAGATGGCACTTGATTATCCAGAAAGTAGAGTCTTCCACTAAACAAAAGCACATAAAAGCAGCAACAGTACTTTTTATAAATGAATGGAATTTGGCAAGAGTAGAAGAAAAGAAAGGAATCAGAAAGACAATGTTAATGTCTTGCGCATCAACCCGAATACAAAGTTTTAACTGTTAGGGTGAACTGACGTGGGCGAAGCCACATTGCCTAGTATGCACCCGAGTTTGAATCTCCCTCCCGCAGTTTAGATTAGTTTAGGGTGAACTAGAATTGAGTCCCTGGATATATGTTAATAAAACAAGCAACAAGAGCAGTGATATGATGGTATAATTCGAGAAATAAGGCAGCGAAAGCGGCTTACATCGAGACAGTGGCATTGAGATCTTGTAGATGTTACTATTTTCGGAGTCCAAAACCAGAAGCTCTCCACTTGGGGACACTTCAACCGAGTGTGGTTCAATTCCGAGCTTACTTCCATCAAACACCGTATCCACGGTGTATCCACCCTCAAATTTCATCATCGAACGGCTGGAAACAGCTGAAAAATTGAACCCCATCAACCTCATAAACCTCACCATTTCAAAGAACACTCTCTAATTACCAAAATAACAACCAAAGAAGCACTCTCTCATTACCACATCAACAACCATAAAAATACGAAAAATTGGTAAATCTGAGTTGGGAAAAATACCTGAACTGGTTTTTGTGGTGGATTTCAGTGACCAGAGCCATTTGACAAGAGCAGAAATCACATTGGTGACAATCCCAGTTACAATTTCTGCATATACATACACATATACATATATGCGAAATTACAAGATTACCAATTGAAGCAAAGCCAAATTTGAAGCAGAATGGGGGATAAAGATGGAAACTTCACTCACTTGCAGGAGGTGAGGCAGCTACTCCTGATGAGAAATCCCCAGAGAGAAGAAGAAAAATCAGAAGCAATGCAACCCAATTCCTCACCATTGATGTTGGTTTTGTTGATCAGAGCTCTAAGAGCAGAAGAATACTCACTCACTCGCTCACAAGCTCTGAGCTTGTAGTAACACCACTTAAGTAGGAGACCCCACAGACAGTGTTCTGCCACTTTTTCTACAAATTACTCAGTGAGAATGATTCTTTCTAGAGAGAGAGAGAGGAGAGAGAAAGAAGGTAAAAGAGACAAAGTGGGTATGGTGAATTTGGAAGGTTTGGTGATACTGAATTTTGAACACAATGGAGTTCAGTGTTAAGGAAAGGAAAAGGTAAAGGCAAAGGGGAGAGAGAGAGAGAGAGAGAGAGAGAGAGAGGGGAATCACTGCTAGTGCAATAAAAGCAAGAGGAGGGAATCATATCCTCTGTCTTTACTTTTTTCAGTCTTAAAATTGTGCTAACCAATCCGTTGTTAATTAATTACAGTGGATGCTCACTTCTTTAGGAGGGCAACTTATTCTCTTTGACGGCATCTCTAGTCAATAACGTATTATTATATCATTGAGTTATTTTACATGACATTGCGTGATTGGATTAGAGTACCCCTATTCTAGCCTTCAGGGGTAATAATGTCATTTCGTCGTGAGGGTGTGGTTGTTCATGGGATCATCAGCTGATATTGTGCAGTGTTGGAGCATCCACAGAAATTGGAGTGACGATCTTGTACAAGAAAACAACTTACAACTCTCCAACTTCAATTATTTGTTCTTCATTTGATGCTTTTGTTTAATGCTGTCTTTTTGTTTCTTCACCCTCATCTCACATGTGCTTAGATCTCATGTGTCATATGCTAACAAACCAAAGTGGTCGTGACAATATTTTTTAACCTTCTTTGAATCTTTGTTTTTCTTTCATTGGTCAACAAAATCATATTTTTTCTTTCTTCCGTCTCTTAAGAGAAACAAAATGTCATTGTAGCAGTTATCGAAACTCAATCACGTACTATCGTGCTAGTAAGTTAAAACACATAACATAACTGATTTTAAATATCCTCCTGACATCTTAGTGTAAATAAGCCTCTCTCATGTCCTTCTGAGGTTTCTTTTGGAGTAGGGCTTCAACATTCATAATTGTGGTCCATCTGAATTAGCAAAGACTCCCATTCCATCATTATCACATTTATTTTTGCAAGGTCAGTGTTATTTACGCACTTAGTTTTACCTCTCACACCCTTGTCAAGTTTTAGCATAGATCTTCAAATCCGATTGAATGACCAGAGATTGAAAGATGTGTGTAAAAATGAATGGATAACACTACCCTGTTTGCAATTTGATCTTTCTAGTATCTAATGATGAAAGTAGTTTACCACTTTAGATGAAACAATGAATTGCAAACATGGACGTCGAAAAATTAGTTAGAGCAATGCACTCTCCTCTCTATGCTTGCGAATCCTCTACAGCTTTAGATTAGAATATCGCTCGAAAAAAAATACTGAATTTGATCTAGAACAATGTGCCAAAACCTTTACAAACTGAACCCAACTAAAAAGCCCAAAACCCAACTCTCTTATTGATGTTGGCACATATGTACTGCTGAGAAAAGCATGCTCAGAAGTCAGTACCAGCAGAAGCACTTTGCATTATTGCCTAAGAGCTATACAAGTTTTTACAGTGCAAAGGGCAGCATCAAATATGACTGCAACAGCAAAAATATGAAGAAAAATAAAACAAACCCAAAGAAATACATTTGATTACAAAGTTGTACGGTATACGCAGAATTATACGTGGTAGACCATCCCAACCTCTAGAGTAGATACATGAGGAATGCTCAAAGCATAACTCGGCCCTCGAAAATTCCTCCTCAAGAAATCGTACCCAAAATTGATCACTATTTTCTTCATAAAACTTGATCCTCTCTTCGCCTTCACGTAAGAGTGGCCTAATATAAATGCCATTCCTGCCTCCCTTGCTTCCATCAGTTCCTGCAGCTCCCCTACTGCTTCCCTGTCGATTCGTGGGGTTTCTGGAACAACGAACCTCACTCTCTTCTTTGCCTTTTCGGTAGGCCCTATCTCCTGCAACTCTGAGGTGCTTGCTATTTCAGAGGAATCCGGTTCATCTACAGACATTCTTATGCCGTCTAAATTTGATGATGACGTCCCAACAACTGTCATTTTCTCATCATCTTCCAATTTTACTGGACTCAGATTGCATTCTGGTCTCTCTGACCGAATGAACTCTGCAATACTACAAATCAGATCTCTTTCAAATTCCATGTCATCCTTGTGAACATCACGGTAACCATAGCGTGCTATGCATCTATATAGCCGGTATTCCTTTGGACCAACTCTTCCCACTAAGAATCTTTCCTCGGGTCTGACATGTGGGACTGGGACGGATTTGATGCAGAGGAAAACTACAACCTGATGGAAAGCAGGGAGGTTGGTAACAAAGTGAGAGAAAATAGCCGGGATCCCAGAGACGAGCTCAGTGTGTATAAGGCCAATCCCCCGGACTCGAACAATCCCTAGAGTAGGACCTAAACTGAGGAGCCAGTTGATGGAGACTTTATTTTGGACGTCAAACTCATATTTCTTGAAGGTGCCGTAGTGCCAAACATACATAACCATTAAGAAGATAAATGAAAGAGCAATCGGGACCCAAGCCCCTTCACGAAACTTCATGAGCGATGCTGAGAAGTAGAGTGCCTCAAGGGAGCCGAAGAATAATATAAAGCAAATTGCCCAGAAGAGGCTTTTGTGCCAGCACAAGACTATGACTAGAGACATAAGGCAGGTAGTTACCAGCATGACGGTTATAACAGCCAAACCTATATGAAGGTAAGACATAAATACATTATACAAAAGCTAACACACACACACGAGCCAAAATATTAGGTTGAAGTGGACGGTACCTGATGCATTTCCCATGGCCTTTGTGTCTCTAAAACCAATGGTAACAGCCAAGCATAGAAACATCAAAGTCCAGTTAATCTCGGGGATGTAAATTTGACCGTGTATTTTCGAAGACGTGTGGACAATTTTGACCCTCGGAAAGCAACCCAAGGCAGAACATTGTTTGATTATCGAGAAAGTTCCAGTTATGATTGCTTGACTTCCCACCACCGCAGCAAGTATGGCTATTGCCAAGACAGGCCATCTTAATTTCTCTGAGACAAGGAGAGAATCCTAATTAGCTTAATCTCAAATTTTACAGTCACAACTACTACAGGTGTGGCTAGACACCTACCAGGAACTGATTCATAAAATCCAATTCGATAATCACTTTCTATGATATGATGCTTAGAAAGGTATGCAGCTTGTCCCATGTATGCTAGAATCAAGGACGGGTAAACTACAAACGTGAAAGCAATCTGCAAGGTGAATGTGACAGATTACTTAGTAGAGATGAAAATCTCCATTCGACAAATATAGCTTTATTCAGTTTGGATACCTTGATTGACGTCTGCGAAAAGTGTCCAAGATCAGCAAACATAGCTTCCGAGCCTTCAAAAGATAAACAAGATAATGTCAGAGAAGGTAAAAATAAGCATCCATGAAAAGATGATTCACTAACAAACTCTTGTACCTGTCATGCACAACAGTATACCGCCCAAGGACATCCAACCTCCTTTTCGAGTCTTCTTAAAAAATTTGTACATGTAGTATGGAGAGAGTGCCTGATAAACATGGGGATTCCAGTAAATGATGTTGTATACACCAATGGAACTGATGCACAAAAGCCATGTGATCACAACTGGTGCAAACAAGAACCCCACTCGGTGAGTCCCGTAATGTTGAAGGGCAAACAGAAATATGAGGATGACACAAGCAACAGGGACTTCAACATCTGCAGAAGCAAGATATAATAAGGAATTACAATAAGCTGATAAATGATAATCAATATGTAGGTAAACTATCTGGTTGCTAATCAAGATGGTAGGAATGTGCATAAAGCAGCATGAAGATATGAGGCAGGAAAAAGAAGGAGAATAGTAAATATTTATTGTATTATGTCTTAACATGCATATGCTAAAAGGGAGATGCAACATCAGCTTTGAGCTTTGAATTGCTGTTTCAAGCATCACAAGCTAAGGCTACACTATTTGATTAAATGGTTGCTCAAAGTCCAATTGACAATTTTCTGTTAGCAAGCACAAGAGAATTAAAGTTGGCAGGATCACTGACAAAAGAGGTTAAACAATGCTAATTGTTAGAAAAAACACACAAATGTACAGTGTGACTGGTATAAGGTGATAATATAACTAGAACAGTAGAGGCACTTGAAAATATAATGATAAGATGGTGACTTCATTCTGGTTAATCAAATGTTTTAGCCAGCAAGTGGGTCAAGGCTCGATAACAAAGTCGTACTTATGCATGCCTGATCAGAGGACTCAGGTCATAATTTATAATCTAATCGAAAAGTCATCCTAAATTAATCACCCTTCTTCTTCATCTTATAGCTACATTACATCTTTTAACTTTATAAAAGACAAGACTTTTTACTCTCATGAAAATTAAACTTTGTCTCCTACAAACAAATTTAACCAAATGTTGACTGAAAAAAAGAACAGACAAAACTAACCGGGTGTTGCACTAATCATTCAAATTATTTTTTATTAGCTTGATGGTGATCTGACTTTACTTAAAGCAGGCTAATTTGTCTTAATTTTTGTAGGGGTCCCCTCGATAATGTTTTCATTTTTCTAAAATTTGGTATTGCCTGCTTGTCACTAACTTCGCGTCTACGCAATAGAAACCAAGAAAAAGCTTCTGAAATCTAGAGCAACCGCTATTTTGGATTCGCATCTGCTAAAAGTTAGATTTAGATTCCAAACCATGATTTGCATATGTTAAAAGTCTCTTTGCAGATATATTCAGTACAGATGCAAAGAAATTCTGTGAACCAATGAGCCAAAACATCTTATCACTAAGCAGCTTCACTTTTTAGAATTCTCTTAGCCGTGTTAGCGGTCCTAATCCTGATTAACTACTCAACAATATCATTTTCTAAGTTATTCTGCATCGATCATGAAGTTATGTTTCCGCTGTGCATATTTTAATATCCAACATTTCTATTAGCTGCTCCTAAATTAGAATTTGAAAGTTATATTCTATCCGGATAAAGAAGAATGCAGAGAACATCAACCACATAACCAAAATCCCTTAAATTCAATCTTCTCCTAAAACAATGTAAATGATTTGCAGGATCAAATTAAAAGCTTCAGCGACGAATAACTTACAACGATGCTGCTCTTTCGACATGGAGAGCTCCAACCCCGAAACCGCGGAAAACACTGCACCCACAAGAAGCAAATTCTCATCATTCAAATCCCAATTTCCATAACTTTAAAACCCAAAAACTAATATCATCATATATATAACCTCAAAAGTAC